TTTTTTTATTGTAATTAGAGCAGCGCAGCAGGACACGGCCTCTCGTCGAGATCAGTACGAAAAGGGATTAGTATCGACAGACCCACTGGATGCGTGGCTGCGCGGGAGATGCAGCGTAGTGGGAGCCCACCACCTGTCAGAGCACACGGCAGAGGAGTGGACGTGGCAACTGCTTCCAGATGGAGGGACGCAGGCTCCCTGCTGCGTCACAGGGGGAGAACGTAGAGAGTGGTAACAAGGCTCTAAAATTACGCGCAAGCTTTATGATTATCTCCAGTCGTTGGGTTCCACAAAGACACACAATGCACAAAATTCACAAAAAATCACATGGTTCCCTTTTCTTTTCTAACACATGTGTTTGTGCCGGGTCTTCCTGTAGCAGCGCACACCACTTACTGCTGGTTTGGCCACGCTGCAGCATACACAGCTGTTGAAATCAGCTTGGCAAGTTCAATAGGGGCCTTCTGATAGATTCAATTATGTTGCAATCATCCTCTTTTCTCTAATCTGTAATCTCAGCTGGATGTTGATTAATTGCCATTTGCAAGTCTCTCATGCCTTCTGCCCTGTTGGCTGCTAGCTCACTATCCTTAGTGGATGCTGTCTCCTCCACTCCTCTTCCTCCCCCTCCTTCGTCTCCTCCCACAACAAAAGGGGAAAGTTTTGTAGTATTGGTAGTTCTCTTTCATAATACTTCGTTCGATGTCTCACTATGGGATGCACGCCCCGCTGCAGACCTCAGAAGCATTAATCTCATTACACCAATCCTGATTGGCTGGTGAAACGTGTCCGTCCGCCGCAGGTAGTACCACCTACCTTAAATATCTCATGCGGACGCCACCACGTCATTCAAACACCTCTTCTCACTCGGAGCATAACTCGCGTCTTGGGCTAGTTGGCTGAACTGTCCACAGACAGATCTTGTTTAGCTTCTGTCGCCGGGCGCTAGCTATCCTTGTGAGTTTCTTCTGCTTCGTCGGTCACACCAGACCGAACTGTGTGCTTTCCTCGCCCTCCACGGCAACAGTTGGCACTGTCCTTGACGCCTCACCACGGCTGTTCAAGTACCGAGGGTTAGCACACCAGCTAATCTCTCGAACCTTTGGTTAGCACACCAGCTAACTGCCTCGACTCCCTGCCTGCACACCAGCTCGCGGGGCATGGAGGCTAAAACCCCTCACACCAGAGGGCACGGAGACTCCGGGGCCCGTACTTGTCGCTGTGGGTACAAGATATCGAGCAGTGATCCACACCAGGTCTGCTCGAGCTGCCTAGGGCTGGAACACGCCCGGCTAGCTATATACGTCCCCGGCTCGTGTCAGCACTGTGCGGTGTTAAAGAGTCTCCGCAGACGGCTAACCCGCCAGGCTAGCCTGTCTGGATGGGACCCCTATCGCCTATGTCCTGTCCAGGAAAGTGGTCACGACGGACACCAGCCTGACAGGTTGGGGCGGAATTTACGAGGGCCGATCTGTGAACGCCATCATGTCCTGGTGAGGACGGACAACATGACGACGGTGGCGTACATCAACCGTCAGGGGGGTTTACGTTCCCGTCAGCTGCACATGCTGGCACGCAAACTGATCCCGTGGAGCTGCGGTCGTCTTCTCTCCCTGAGAGCGACGCACATCCCGGGAGCCCTGAATACGGGCGCGGACCTGTTGTCCAGGGGCGCGCCGGTATACGGGGAGTGGACTCTGCATCCGGAGATTGTGGAACAGATATGGGCCCGTTTCGGTCAGGCCACGGTGGATCTGTTTGCATCGAGAGGCAACATGCAATGCGCGCTGTTTTACTCTCTGCGCAGCATGGATGTCCCCCTCGGGGTAGACACACTACCGCACGCCTGGCCACACGAGCGTCTGTACGCATTCCCCCCCCGGGCGTTGATACCGCCCACTCTGTCCAGAGTGAGACAGCACGGCCACGACCTGCTGCAAGGGGGGGGAATGCTTTTCCACCCGCACCCAGAACATCTGGTGCTGTGGGCTTGGCCCCTGAGTGGCTAAATCTGTCAGCTGTGGGCCTCTCACAGCATTTGATTTCTACTATACTGTCACGGTGTGGTTTTATTTCCTCTCTTATTTTGTAGTTTTCTGCTTTTTGTCTCCCTGGGTAACTTCACTTCCTGCCTTGTCCTGTCATCGTCTGTGATTGTCTGATTGTTTCCACCTGTGTCCAATCACCTGCACCTCCCTAGTGTATTTAAGCGGTGTGTGTCTCCTGTCACTTGTCGCATCATTGTCTTTTGTCCTGGATGTTCCTCGTTTCTGCCTGCCTTTTTCCCCCCGGTACTTGTATGTGTTTTTGCCCGTTGGCCTTTTGAGTTTTTGCATTTTGACTATTAAAGTCCTTTTTGTTTCCCTGCAAACTCTGCTTTTCAGTCCTGCCTTTTTCCCCACGCGACATCCCTGACCTATACAAAGTGCTCGAGCCTCCTCCACTAGGTCCCTGTATGACTGTAAGTGGAGGGTGTTTGAGGATTGGTGTCACAGGAATGGCCACATTCCTTTTCAGTATCCAGTAGGAGTGATATTGTCATTCCTCCAGGACCTGATCGACAAACGGAAAGCCTTCTCCACGGTTAAGGTTTACTTGGCAGCTATAGCCGCCTGTCATGTGGGGTTTGGGAACCAAACAGCGAGCCAGCACTCGCTGGTTTGCCATTTTATGAAGGGAGCGTGCAGGCTTCTCCCCGTGTCCAGACCACTGGTACCACCGTGGGATCTGGCTGTGGTTCTTGAGGGGCTTAAGAGCCCCCCCTTTGAGCCACTGGAGGGGACAGACTTGAAACACGTGTCTCTCAAGACCGTGTTGTTGCTGACGCTGGCTTCGGCTAAACGGGTTAGGGACATCCACGCGCTTTCGGTGCACAGCGCTCCGCTCAGCTCTTTCCGGGGATGTGAGGATGATTTTAAAGCCCAACCCGGCCTTTGTGCCTAAGGTGGTGGGCTCATGTTCTCCTATTGTACTTGTGCCTTTTGCTACCCTACCAGGTGAGCAGCGTTCGCGTTCGTTATGTCCAGTCCGTGCAGTGCACACTTACATGGATAGGACGAGGAGTTTCCGGAGGAGCGATCAGCTGTTCGTCTCCTGGGCTAATCCGCACACGGGGAAACCTGTCACAAAGCAGCGCCTGTCCCACTGGGTGGTGGAGGTGATAACTTTGGCTTATACGAGTCAGGGCATGCAGCCACCTGTGGGCTTGCGAGCGCACTTGACTCGGTGCCTGCCCACATCCTGGGCCTTATTCAGGGGAGTTTCTGTTCAGGACATCTGTGCTGCGGCGAGTTGGTCCTCACCACTCTTGTCCGTTTCTATATGCTGGATGTTTCCGCTCCGTGCGTGGTTTTGCTGTCCTGATTGGAACGGAGTATTTTTCTCTGAGCGTTGGTGGACGCTAGATAAGCTTGTCTGGCTATACGGGAGCAACCACATCTCATAGTGAGACATTAAATGAAGTATTATAAAAGAGAACTTTAGGTTATTTACATAACCCCGGTTCTCTGAGTAATATGAGTGAGATGTCTCACCAGACAACCCTTCTTGCTTGGGCGAGTGAGAAGAGGTGCTTATCTTGAATGACGTGGTGTCGTCCGAATGAGATATTTAAGGTAGGTGGTACTACCTGCGGGGGACGGACACGTTTCACCAGCCAATCAGGATTGGCGTAATGAGATTAATGCTTCTGAGGTCTGCAGCGGGGCGTGCATCCCATAGTGAGACATCTCACTCATATTACTCAGAGAACCGGGGTTATGTAAATAACATTGCGTTTAAATCTTTTCATGGTCTCGCTCCCCGAGTATATATTCAGCTTACCACATGTGTTCTTGCACCACCCCAGACTCTCCGATTCAATCAAATACCACCGGAATTCACGCACAACCTTGTGTTGCCAGACGTCTGTAGTGTCAATAGGGCTCATGGTGATACAGATAATTCTATTAGCAGACGGAAGCGTCAAGGTGCTCTATAGGTGTGAGCGGCCCATTGAAATGTGAACACATGCCAACTGGGACGAGTCGGACAACTTGTTCACTTTACCTGCTAAACAAACTGATTAAATCCTGATAACTTTGCGGCACTCGGGTCGCCTTGCACTCCGAAAAGGGACGTAATTCATGTTGAGACACAAGCCTCAGCATTACGGTATGAAACCTCCGCCTTCATCTGTCAGACGCGGCGGCGGCGGGCGCATTAGCATCATCCAACGCTCCTGGCTTCTGGGCCATGCATATTGGACGTCCGTGTAGCCTACATCCACGGCTCTGCCATCCTCCTTCTGGATACGGTGATGGGAAGATCTGCGTCGTGTAACCGTATCCTTTCAGTGGTGTTTAGTTGGTTCATTCCCCTGTCAAAAGAAATCGATGTCCTGCTGATTGGACTCTTGGGTTTTTAGACTCTTCAAAGTACTTTTCCAGCTGCTGCCAGAGGCCTTAAGGTGGGAGGGAGTGGGGGGGGGGGCTTTAAATGGGTTTAATGAATGTTTTAAGGCTATAATAGTAAAGCTATGATGGTGGTATTATTGAGGTGTGATCACGGTGGGGTAAAACATTGATTAAGACATTTCAAATATTTTAAGATGTGTTTGATTTGTCACCTGGCAAAGCCAATGCTCGCTTTTGAGGTTATTAATCCACACGGCAATATTGATCACACTGTGGTCCTGGTTTTATAGAGCTGCTGTGAATTACTACCGTTTTTTGTTGAGTGGCGAGATATGAGGTGTGTGAGACTGACGAGAGTGAATGGGACGTGTTAATGTTGGGAATCACTAAAGCAACATCAAAAGCAGCGAAATGGATGGAAATATAAAGCCAAGGAGGAAGGCAATCGCTGCGAGGCCGAGCGAGGAACGCTCGTGGATCATTTTTGCTGTGCTCCACGTTTAACTAACCGAATATTCGGTGAAGGGAATAAATCCTAAATTAGACAGCTGTCTGTTTGACAAAAAGAAAAACAACGTTTGACGGCTTTCTTTCTTTCTTCCTCAGATTCTGATCGGAGAAGTGACCAGTTTCTTTGTGAAGACGGAAGGAGCTCAGGAAAAGACCATAGTGACCGCCGACTGCTGTTATTTCAACCCTCTCCTCCGAAGGATTGTACGTTTTCTGGGTCAGTTATAGTGCTAGAGATCAGAGGTTCTGCCACTTGGACTGAATGGAGCCTCTGTGCTCCGGGGGCTCATTTGGACTTGCAACGGCACTCCTACAAGGCCCGGAGAGAGAGAGATGGAGAGAGAGCTTGTCCTTTGTAGGTCTCCTGTGGACTTGTTTCCCCTCTCTTCGTGTTGCGCTGATGATCTTTTTCATCTTCTCTGTAGCTGTATGTTGTGAATCTTTGTGATGGACCGTAGATATGATATATAAAAGCAAAGGCCAGGTCTGTCTGGCATTACCCCTCCCACACAGCTAGAAGTCAAAGCCAGCGTTTAAATCCGCATTTAAGTGGTTGTTTCTCAGCAGTCTCGTTTTGGGTTTGCATAAACACATCCCCTCCTTCTTGTCCCACTTGTGTGTCTCTCTTTTTGTTACACAGGTGTCTATTCCTTCGGGCTCTTTACCACCACCATCTTCGCCAATGCCGGTCAAGTGGTGACAGGAAACCAGACGCCTCATTTCCTGTCCGCCTGCAGGCCAAACTACACGGCTCTGGGCTGCCAGTCTCCGCTGCACTACATCGCCGAGCGCCGGGCCTGCACAGGAAACCCCTACCTGGTGGCGTCCGCCCGCAAGTCCTTCCCCTCCAAAGACGCGGCGCTTAGCTTTTACTCAGCCATCTACACGGTGGTAGGGAAACGTCTTTGAGGGTCATGGGGGGGTCATTGGATGACCGTGGGCTTTACCCAAGAGCTTTATTAATGATCGATTGATTGTTTACTTGTGCTTTGTAGATTAGCTACAGGAGGAGAAATGAAGAATAAGTTGACCAAACACCTCAAAAATAGAAACGCAAATGTACAAATAGAGTTTCTACTTTGGCGCTCGGCCTGCTCTCTTTGTCCGACAGTTATCCGCCTCTGTCTAGTGCATGTTTTCTTCATATTCAGACTCTTTGGATTTGAAGCTAGTCGCGGTTGAATGTCGTGTCAGTGGTACTTTCTAAAATCATACTTATCTTCAGAAAAAGCCTGTAGAGCTGCATTCAGTCCATTTGGTGTCCTGAACGTATCCTAATTCATATTGCAGAGACCTTTTATTAGCTTCTCTCTGAAGAAATAAATTTGATATTAATTCAGTCAATTACACTCTTTTCTTACATTAAACCCTCAACCTCGAGAATGAAATCACTTCTGTGGCAAAACAGAGCTGAAATTGGCGACACCCACGTGAACAATCACACGTGTTCATGGAGCTTTCTTTTGGAGCGAACCCTTCAGCTCCTCTGAAATCACTGCAGAGTGCGGCCTCTTGTGGCTCATTCAGGTTGTTCATCGTGTCTCTGCTGCCTGACTGAAGACTTAATAGTGGTTCATCCCGCAGTGAACAAATAACACAACGTCTTGATTTGATTTAAAACATATCTCTCTCCTCCAGATGTACGTGACACTGGTGTTCCGGACCAAAGGGACCCGCCTCACCAAGCCCACCTTGTGCCTGGTGCTGCTGTCTCTGGCCGTGCTGGTGGGGGTGGTGCGGGTGACTGAACACAGAAACCACTGGAACGATGTGCTGGCTGGGTTCGTCACCGGAGGGGCCATCGCTGCCTTCCTGGTGAGAGGGAGGAAGATTTGGGCAGGCAGGAGGGCGGAGGAAGAGAGTAATTTCAGAGAAAACTAATTGGGTTGCAAAGTTTGTCAGTTGTGATGTTGTTCCCCAGGAAAGGACTTTGATGGACTCTCACACACTGTCACGCCTATGAAAGTGAATATACTGGTCTGAGTCTTTATCATGGTACATTTATATAGTGTAATTTGGTCTTGGGACCTCTTGGCCTAAATCAATTTTCTCCGAAAACTTCTAGGATTGGTGCTAACTTTAAAGATCAAAGTGCTCCCTCCCAATCTTTCCATTATTTTTCTCTCCCTCTCACACTGCAAGTGTCCTATTCAGCAATGTTCTTGTGCCCACTATTACGGACCAGAACATCCCCCATGTTCCTTGAGCAGTAGAGCAAATATTTGTCCTCCTTTCACCTTGTAACTAACGTTTTTTCTTCCTCATCATCAGGTTTCATGTGTGATCAACAATTTCAAGCAGACCCAGATAGCATTGCCACCTCCTCCGCCTCAACAGCGCCCTGAGCAGCCAATCGGGCTTCCTCTCCTCAGCCTGCCCCGCGTGGAGAGTCCACTCGAAAAGTTAAGTGGCCTCCAGGTAAGGGGTGGGGGAGGACGTCATGGAAAAAACATCTAAACAAAGTGTCGGCACGTTCTTCACTGAAAGGTGTCTTTTGGTTGAGCTAATTATTATTCCCAGCACGGTTCTATACCACTAGTGTGCTAGCGTTAATGCTAATGCCACCATGCTTTAATGCAGCTCGGTTTACAAAACAATGTCGACACCCATCTGGTGATTTCCTGTCCTGTGAGAAAAGTGTGGTGTTGAAGCATTAAACTGATTTTACTGATTCAATCTGGCTCTCTGCACTGCAAACTATTACTACTCCATCAGTAGTTTTACCCGTTAGGTGAAAGTTTAGAGTGACGGCTAACTTGCTAAATCGGTTAGCAAGTTAGCTCGTAGCTAACTAGCCAATTGCCCGCTAGTTTCAAGCCCCGGGGAGGAACACCATGCTTAGCTACAATCTTAACGTAGTGGTCAAAGATTGTAATTACAACTTTAAAATCTTTCAGATGATGCCACGAGAACCCCAAAAATACTTTTACCCATGAAATTACATCAGTAACTTTGGGCATAACTCTGTTTGAGGAGCATCAACTTCCCAGTACGAATACTTGAATAGTTGGTATTTAAATATTGTTAGGGTTAGTCGACCGAATGGTGGGCTGCCGATTCTGTTGCTGTTGCTACTTCCCTTATTCTGCATCTCTTTTCATCTAGTTATTAGATCATGCCGCCATACTTTAATGCTACACTGGTTAAAGATTTGCAAAACAGAGTTATCGTTCATCTGGTTACAACTCCAGTGCTCCTTTTTTTGCAAAACTTCAGTGAGTCCACAACTTGTCACAACTCGGTATAGAACTCAGCCCGCAACCAGAGTCGTAGTGGAAACTGTAAACATAAAAATACCCACTGCTCTGACCACCCTGCTTCATTGGTTTAAATGGGAATATCCGTTCTAATCCTGTTCTGTTTCTATGGAAATTTCGCAACATCCCCCGAAGATGAATCCCACTGACTGTGGTGATCCCCTGAATTTTCCCCCCGTGCCACCATGAGGTTGACATTTGTGGTTTTGAGTGAAAGAGACTACGCATTCATATTTACACATTTATTGATGCATATGTTGGTCTGGATGTTCACTTGATAAACTAAACTGGGCGTACAGCTTCACCTCCCTTAACATGGCTTGTAGACCCTTGTTTTCTATGTGAATCTGGGTGTTTTTGACTCTTTTTGTCCTCACTGATAATCCTATATGATAACTTCTCACTCGTTTTGTACTCTTTCTACGTCCTCTCTACCTCTCATAATCTTCTCTCTGTCCGCTTGCCTCCCGTTAGGTTCCAGGGCTACCGTATTCTGAGATCACATGACCATCAGCCAATGCCGTACCCCACCCCTCCCGATGTGCTCCTCCCCTCACGGCGTTGCCTCACCAGCGCAGTCTAGACCTCCCCACCGAATGCCCCCCGCCCTGCCCAGCCCACCCCGCAGGACGACACCCTCTCAGACGAGTCAAATCTACGCAGGTCTGAAAGGTCCACCAATCAGAAGAGGCAGACCAGCGACACGTGCGTGTGACATGCGCCGCTGAAACCCGTCATCGGCTGAGGACCAGTAGGACGGGATACGCGTCCTTCTTTTCCTGTTATGTCATGTTTTTCCTCCACAATGGCGTCCTTTTTTCTTTCTGGTGATAAAAGACCCGCTGAAAGAACCCGCCAAAGCGAGAGCTGTTGAAGCAATACTGTGTCCATATTTCCATGTCCTGTTTTTCTAATAGACAACACAACAGGGACTCTAAAGACTGTTGGCTGGTTATGACTTGATGAAACACTTGACCATGTAAAAGTTATTCAGCGAAGCTGAGGGTTTCAGGGATCGAAGAAAGTTCCAGTCGCTGGTGGATCGTCCTCAACGCAACACTCAGGACAATACAATGGGGGGGTAGGGACGAAATGAAGATCACAGACCTTTATCTAATCAAACGCAGGTATTATGGTACAGATTACGTCTGTCCGCATAACAAACGAGACGTGGTCGAAGAAAAAAAGCACCTTTGTAAATTATGGAACAGATGAACCAACTTAGTGTTCACCAAACTGTGTTGTGTCTTATTTGTTTTGGGGGATTTGGTTATGATCTCTGGGCTGTATTTTGTGTGACGTGACAGAGGAGAGAACACACCAGGGCTGTGTTTGTGATACCACCATTTGTTTTTCTGGGAAATCAGTTAATTCATCCTTGAACTAGATTTTCCATCAGCTCTCCAAATGTCTTTTACTGACTATTCATGTCTGTGTTTTCTACACGTTGGTAGGTTCCACCTCCATAATGTAAAATATTCTGAAGGTTTCATCATTAGACTTACTGCCTATTCCCCTGTGGACTTCATTGTTGGTGTTAGTTGCTACAAATGTCTAAATCGTTTTTTCTTTTGCTACCTGTATCTAAATGTGAACTGTTTCACCCCCTTTTCTTTCTGAAGCTATCGTGTTATAAGAGTAGTTTGGCGTCGGTTGTTGATGCCACTGTTTTATCCGTCCTGTCCAGTGATTTCCCCTCACTGACTTTAGGGAACCGATGGCACGGACCGGTGTGTGACACAGAGGCGTGACCTCTGAGTTTTGTATAGTTTTGTACAGTAAATAGGTTTCTTTACGCGGTATATACTACATTATCATTACGTTTAGTGTGAACGATGCGAGGCTACGAGTAGAGGCCTGCCTTGAAGTAGGAGCGTGCTTTGGATCTTATCCGTTCAGAAGGACACACGCAGGCAGGTTGTTCTAGTGTTCTAGGTTATTCAAGAGTATGCGATGCGTTATATAAAGAAGACATTTTACTAGGCGTGTGTGCGCGTGTGTCTGTGCGTGTGCGTGCTTATTGAGATTAGTGTGTACGTTTTATAGGGAGCACATCGTATGGCAGCAAAACTATTAATTCGGCAATCTGTTTTTAAGTTAAACCGTCAAAAGTAGCTGCTATAATAACACCTGTGCTTGTATGTAACTGCAGGCCATCAAAAGACCCCTGCCAAGGCGCCCTAACAATGCCTGTTAAAGCAGAAGGTGCTCATTATAGGTCTGAGATTACCTTAAGGAAAACTTTTCGGTCTGGATTTTTTTTTGTAAACAACTGAAGGGGTGGAGAACATGGTAAATGTCCAAAATGACATTATTTTCATGTTAAAAATGTCTCTGTTTTGTATTTATTTACCTAAATAAATTGTGATTACCACACATGGCTCCTGCGTTGCACTGTTTTCATGTGATGTTTTTTTATTGCTTGCACTCTAAAACTGTGCTATTCTGCCACTTCCATTTGTTTAATGCTTTTATTTCAAAACACTGACATGCAGTAGTGATGACCATTGTACTTGAAAGCATTGAGATTACTTTTAATTGATATCAATTAACCTTGAAAGGAAAAACACAGGTGTTACTAAAAACATTAACATTGGCTCTGTTCTTCTTTTTTGTCCCAGCAAGTCACCCCCGATTTAAAATACGGATTTATTCTCTAAATATTCAAATATAATATAAACTTGCTGTAAGAGCCACTGTATCATCCAGTTGCTATGTAACAACAACACAATGTCCCGTGATTGTGGTTATGAGGACAAAATACAACATGTGGATTGTTACAGAGCTTAAGAGTCTGCTCCACATTTCAAGGCCTTGGGCCTAGTTTTCCGTGTACATAATACAAGATCTTTTTCACCTGTTGGTCAGCATTACATATTTTAAACTGTGGAAAGCTACATGTCAGATCATATTAGACATATATAAAACACATACACACTGACCTCAGAAAAAAACACTCCGTTTTTTATACTTCCCCACAGCACTTGTTTTGTAGCTATACCGTTTTTTGTATATTATATGTTCATAACTTACGTAGGTATTTATCGACTGTTCCCACAATTACCTACAGTCATTTGGAGTGAATAACCATGACTAAAAAGTCCAACCCTGAACATGTTTGCATGCAGTGGGTCCAGCGCACCTCAGATCAGACAGCTGTAGTCGAAGTGATGCGGCCACCGGGTGGCAGTAGTCACCATGCCAACAAGAGGACAGGGCCATCCAAGGGGGAGGATTGTTTTTAATCCACCAGTTTTAATATTTATGAAATCAATCGGCACATTGGGAATGAAAAAATATGCTAAAACCGAGAAGAGGATTTTAAAATGTTTTCCACACGAGATCTCTGCTGGCCCACATTTGTCATCAGTCATCAGGCTAATAAATGTAATGTAATGGCGCAATTACTTTGAAATGTAGACAGAGGCTAATTCTCCCCCTCTCTCTGTCTCCCTCTCTCTCTCTGTCTCCCTCTCTCTCCCCTTCTCTCTAAATTGCCCCAGTCTCTTCCCGCCCCCTCTTTGTGTTCCTTTGAGTTTGTGCTTGTCAGTCTTGTTAACGACAAGGCACACACACACACACACACACACACACACACACACACACACAGAACTCTCTGCACTCTCCCGACAACATTATCTTTTCCGGAAATTGCTTCTCAAGCACAGCCGGAGCCCCATTAGAAAAGAAGAGCTCTACGCTGTAACCTTTTTAAAAAGCCATTAGCGATGCACCTGCTTCTCTCTCGCTCTCTCTCTCTCTGTTCCCATTTGTGTGTCCTATTTGTCTCTCTTGTTAACACTGACACACACACACACACACACACACACACACACACGGTTTCTCCATCCTGATTGCCAGCTTCCCAGTTCCCAATCCAACTGACTACTGAGCAGCGCAAGCATCTTTCCCCTCCAGTTAGAGTGCGAATCACTGACATTTTAAAAGTTCTGCATCTAAATTACGTGATTTACAGGACTTGTGACTGTTGAATCAGTCTTTGGGACGTGAGTAATTTCCTCTCAAAGACACACACTGGTAAAGCGAGAGCATTCATGAAATGTAATGTCGCCGTAGAGAGCACGCCGGGTTTACTCCAGCAGAGATGAATGAGAATTGATTCATGCAAGGTTTGCCTGAATGTACAAATGAGCTTTTAATTACAAATACTGCTCCCAGAGTGATTTAGTGTTTACGTCATAGTTTTCTGAAACCATACACATTGAAAGCCATTAGTCTGAGTCTCAAGGGCTTTTGTGTTTTGCTGACTTACTTTAAGTGCCGCCAGTCCTAAATGAATAGGAGTGTCATGACATCCTGACATATAGATAGACGTGTGTGATAGCATATGATATATATTCTTATATATAATATTAAATATAGTTAAGGTTCTCAGAAGTAAAGAGTAAGAGCCAGTTTGGTACAAAACTATGAAGAAAAAAAAAAGGATTCTACTTCTCTCTTGATTTATTCCCTCATGGGTAAACACGGGTTTATGGTTTCAATCTCCATGGTGCAATGTGCGCGATGTTCATTTAGGCAATTATGGTCCATCTAACTCAAAATAGACCATAAAGCAGAGTATGATTTTGGGCGGGGCCACCCTGTTATTGACGCATCGATACCAAGGCCTTGTCTGTTCTGGGACTTTTTGCTTTCACCAATTGTAACCTTTTCACAGCGGGTTAAAGTTATTGGTAGTTAATTGCAACCTTTTTGTGGCCAAAAATGTTTTGTACAGCACTGTTGTTGTACTGAGCTAATGTTACTTCTGGTTGCGGTAAAACAAGATGGAGACGGCCAACAACCAAGGTGGCGACAAGCAAAGAGACTAGGATGGCAAAAAATATATATAAGAGGGTGCTGGCCAACAATCAAGATGGCCAAGAGGTCCAAAAGACTGGCATCATGGGTAATGTAGGCGCCAGGTTCCGACAATGAGCTAAATTGTATTGTATTTTATAAGACTGTCCATCATGGGTCTGACAATATTACAGGAGACCAATGAAAAGTGATTGTCTGTACGAGTGTGTGAGCGTGTGTGTGTGTGTGTGTGTGTGTGTGTGTGTGTGTGTGTGTGCGTGTTCTTGTGATTTCCTGTGATGAGTTGAACTTGCTCCCTGGCTCAGTGTCTCTCTGTTTGCCGTAATGTTACTGACCCTGAGGTCACACTGGGGCTGAATCACTGTGTGTGTGTGTGTGTGTGTGTGTGTGTGTGTGTGTGTGTTTGTGTGTGTGTGTGTGTGTGTGTGTGTGTGTGTGTGTGTGTGTGTGTGTGTGTGTTGTGTGTGTGTGTGTATGTGTGTGTGTGTGTGTGTGTGTGTGTGTGTGTGAGTGTGTGTGTGTGTGTGTAGAAAGAAACAAATACAAGCAGGAGAAATCAAAGGAGGGAGAGTAAGTGAGTGAGCTGAGGGAGAAAAGTGCATAGATGAATGTGGTTTATCGCATCCCAAAACAAACCACCAGCCCCTTGGTAATATAAACGTAATATAAACACACGTCATCTGTCATAGTAAATTATAAATATTGGTCTTAGTCTTGCTGGAGTCTCCTGATTATGCTCAATCGTCTGCCTCTGACAATTACGAAGCCATTAACGCTGTGTGTGCGTGTGCTTGCATGTGCATGTGTGTGAAGGAGGAAGGGAGGGAGGGAGGGAGACAGACTTGGTTGAGGAAATTGATAACATCCACATCTGCCTTGAAGCTTCCAGCGCCTTACAGCTGCAGCCTTGTGGGCTGTGGAAACATCCTATTGACATGTTTGCTCTGTTTCAGACGTCTTCAAAGAGAGCCAAAGGGAAAAAGATGAGAAGGAAGAATTAAAGATACATTAAGTATTTATAGAAATCATAAATTATAAAAAAGACGATTTAGCTGTAGCGGGCATCATTACCGAAGCGTTTATCACACACACACACACACAAACAGAGAGATTTGGAGTTTTTCGAGGCGTAGCTCCTTTACAGGTCACCAGATGAGGAGAGGATTATAAGAGGCCTTAATGCCAAACCCTATTCAGCATGTCTGCTAGAAAGCACCATCGACCGGATACAGAGGTCCTCGGAGACAGGATTAGGAGTGGGAACACACACACACACCACAGGCTATAGAAACCTCTGTTAAGACCCTGCAGGGAACATCATCCAGGACATACAACGCAAGTCCCATTTCAGTCTATCGATTAGAGCACTAATGACTGACCAAGTGGAGGATTTGTCTCCTACGATGCGTTCGATACGCATCAGTGCTTATTTTTTATTTTTATGATTAATCTTTTTTTTAATACAGTGAACAGTTAATCAGGCAAAATGTGTCAAAAAGCTGTTGGTTTAAAAGTTAAAATTCCAACCCTTATTGTGTTCAAATGTTATTCTTATTGTTGTGCCGACGTCTTGGAAGAATAATTCCTCTGCATATAAACTATTACATTGCTTTACATTTTAAGCATGTTTTGCTATTGTGTCAAACAGCATCTTACCTTTATGGTGTAAGATTAAACAATTCCACAGCACTACAGACCTGGATGTTGAAATACTATTTTACACCATTATAAGCCTAAAATAAGGGTAGCAGACTTCATTATTTATTGCAAATGATTGCATAGTATTTTACAGGTTTGTCCATCCCTATTGCAGAGCGTCAGAATGAGTTACAAAACACAGAGTATAATATAAATAAACATATATCAATATGACATAATGGAACATGTCGAAATTACCCTTTTATAAGCCCCGCCTGCTGTCAGACGAGGCAGCACATGCTGTCACTCACTGCACTCCCGGACAAAATATGATCAAATTTTTGGAAAAACCCAAAAAGCAATTTCAAAGAAAAGCAGATAGAAATTGTGACAGCATTTGTTGGAACAATACATCCAGGATATAATAAAATGAAGGAAGTTCCTGTAGAGCTGGGTATACTTGATTGTTAGAGCAGCATTGGTAAACATTCAGTAGCAGCTAGCATAGCACGGAAGTACTCTTATTGTTGGAAAGTAACACTAGAGAAACACATCCTATAATCTGAAATGGAAGAAAATGTGAAAACAAGTGTAGAGCGGATGGTTGTCGGACCCTGATGGGAATGTGCTGCGCTAGGATTGGCCAATCTGCTTTCGAGGGTGGGACTTAGCGAAAGGGCAGATCAAGTAGAAGAAACACCCTATGAGTCACTGAAAACCGCTACATGTAGTGTAAACAAGCCCTGGAATTTTGAGGTCTGACAACAAACTTCCTGTAAGCTCTTTACTATGGCCACAATGGACCCGTGGAGGTCCCCGCACCCTAGATTGGCAACCCCTGCTCCATAGGGCATGCTCTTCGGCACCAGGGTGGCATGGAAGCATGGCCACAAGAAGAAGAAAAAAATAAAAAAGGTGCTGCTCCTGCTGCTATATACAGGCTCCATCGCTCCATCCCTCCCTCGCAGAGGATGGGAGGGAGAGAAAAAACAAGGAGTGGTTATGTGATTCCCCACAAGAAGGAGGAGAGAAAGGACCTGGAGGAGGAGAAGGGGAGGGGAGGGGAGGGGGCGTTTCCCTGCACAGCATCGCCTATTCTCACACCCTAAGCATGGATACAATTGTGTGGCATCACTAGAGCGTCTTCTTCTGGGGGGGGGGGGGCCGCGGACGTCGTGGTGGACGCGGCGGTAAGTTGTCATTTTCTTTTCCGAAGCTGTACTTGCGTGGATCAGCGTCGCTCGGGGTCCAATCACTTGAGACCAACCAGTCCGGATATTTAGAAAATGTTTATTCCAGCTGGGGAAAAGACGGGAATGAGATCTCTCCGATGGGGCCGAGCGTGCAGCAGCAGCAGCAGCATGCGCGGCGCGGCGCGGGATCCACGCCCCGTCGGTTCCTCCTCGGCACGCTTTTACCATCTGACAAGCAAACAGGTCGGGCCCATCAGCATCGCTCTCAACTAAAGTTCCTGTCGAATCTCTTCACGGGCATTTTGCACCGGTTGAACCGGCGGCGTGGCAGCTACTCTTATTTTTTAAATCCTGGTAAATAATAAAGACAAATGCGTTTTCGGATCTTCTCCACGCTCCCTGGAAAGGGTTAAATGTTCAATTCCCCACGCTTGCCACCCAGGAACTGGGTTCTCCTTGTCAGCGGGAGTGGATGTATTTACAAACAAAGAAAGCTTAATATCCACGCCTGTCACGTAGAAGACAGGTGCTGCAATTGTACAGTGTGTGTGTGTGTGTGTGTGTGTGTGTGTGTGTGTGTGTGTGTGTGTGTGTGTGTGTGTGTGTGTGTGTGTGTGTGTGTGTGTGTGGTTATCTGGGCTAGTAGGCCAACTGGGCCCAACAAAATTAAGAAAATCAAAGAGATGGGCACTGAAACTTTGGCAGACAGGGATTATTCTGCACTCCGAGCTGAATTTGTTGACGTATGACATCACTGACTCATTTATTTTTATTTTGTTATATTTATTTTGCCTGTGTTGGAGGCTATTAGACTCCACAGTGCAGCCCAAGTGACTGGAACGATTTGCTGTTGCAGGCGTAAGCATGAACATAACAGCGCCTTTAGTTCCAAGCAATTAAGCAGTAATGTGCAGAGCGGCCGCCCAGCATCCGTCTGCGTCTCCATCTCGAGCCTGTCTTTAGCCTCCAGCACACGCCACTTGTGATCGTGCATCCCGCCTGAAGCACCAGGTACGTTAAAGGATGGATACGTCTGTCGCATTAGGCATTCATGTAAAAAAGCAGACGGGTTGTATTTTATTGAGGCCCTGCGGCTGGAGCCTTTTCAATCAAGTCAACACAGGAAATGGATTTTCTTACAAATGCAAACCAGATGGCTCTTTCCCGTTGGAAAATAAAGTTGTCAACCGGTCTGCATTACTACTATTGGGCTTAGCTGTATCATTGCAGGGTTCATTTACATGTATTAAAAATAGGGCATCGGTGGTGAATTCCAAAGTGTAAAAACTACGCTGAAGCTCGTCTTCAAATGAGACGGAGGCATTCCAGCGACAGCCGACGGTCCTGTGCCGTCGAGGAGCGCAGCAGCAAACGTGTGTATTTTTACACCATCTCTGACACCTATACGTGCATCTCTTCACAGCTCTTGGTGAGAACAGAAGACACGTCCACTTAAGTTGTCATCATCATCCTCAGCCCAGGACATTGACAGTTGGGGCTGGAGGAGAGAGAGATGAGGCGAGATGAGGAGGGAGAACTAGAGGAGTGTAATGAGGGACACAGATGTGACTTTCTGGCACTTCCCCTCACATGAGACAGAGGGTCAGGACGACTAGCACAGGTGTGAGTGAGGAGAAAGGAACTGGCAGTGGCAAATGGGACCTTTCGTCTGGGAATGTCGGGTTCCACAGACAAGCTGATCTGAGGACATCGGAAGCAGGCAGAAGAGGGGGGGGTGAGAGGGTGAACATGAGGGCGACAGCAGGTGACACCACCAAGGGACCACCATGATGAAAGTGAGCGGAAAAGTTAAAAGAGGGCAAAGCGAGAAGAAGTGGCGAGAAAAAGAGAGCAAAGGAGACATGATATTAAACTGGATTTTTCCAGGCGGTGGGGGTAGGGTGTGCGTCTGTCAGTGTTGCCCCCAACCCCCCTTTCCCAACCACTCTTCTTCTCCGTGCTTGATTGACAATGACTGTGTCTCTAATTGGCAAGAGTGGATGAGGAAGAATCAGGCTTCCTCCATGGGACAGACCGAGGAAGAGAAAAGGGGGGCGAGGAAGGGGGGGTTGGACATATAACGGAGCCTTACCAACAGTTAGTGAATGAGGCGAGAGAAGAGGAGAAGAACAAGAAAAATAAAGGGGGCAGGTGACTGACTAAATGGCCTGAGGTGAGGAAGAGGAGAGGCTGGAACACAGCTGACACCTATTTGCCGACACCTATTTGATAATCTCCCTCGGCTAAATGGCTCATCTCATACCCCATGACACATGCTAGAGGCCTCATGCCACATGCCTCGTGTCTCATGCCTTGTGCTGTTTGCCTCATGCACATACCTCATGTCTCATTGCTCATACACCATTGCCTCATGCCCATACCTTATACCCTTTGTACACACCTCATGCCCCCATACCCTATGTACACGCCTCATGCCCCCATACACTATGTACACGCCCTTATACCTGTTGTACACGCTTCATGCGCCATACCCTTTGTAACCCGCCTCAAAGCCCCATACCCTATGTACACGCCTCATGCCACATACCCTTTGTACACGCCTCATGCCCCATACCCTTTGTACACGCCTCATGCCTCATACCCTATGTACACGCCTCATGCCCCATACCCTTTGTACACGCCTCATGGCTCATACCCTATGTACACGCCTCATGCCCCATACCCTATGTACACGCCTCATGGCCCATACCCTTTGTACACGCCTCATGCCCCATACCCTTTGTACACGCCTCATGCCTCATACCCTATGTACACGCCTCATGCCCCATACCCTTTGTACACGCCTCATGCCCCATACCCTATGTACACGCCTCATGCCCCATACCCTATGTACACGCCTCATGCCTCATACCCCATGCTTCATGCCTCATGCCTGCCATGGTAAAACAGGTCTCCTTGGTGCAGCTCAGGTGTGTAGCGCGCTGCCTGTGTGGCTGAAGCAGATACAGTTTGCTGTATTGGTGTAACACAATGTCTGTGTGACATGTGTATAAACACCATCTCTTTTGTGCCTCTCATCCTGTAGGTGCAGTCCTCAAGAGATGCCTCCATCCCCACAACCTCCTTCCTCCCAACACCACTGCGACCTCACTCAGAATGCATGAAGAGGAGGAGAAAGAAGAAGAAGACGGAGAAGAAATAAATAAAGGCGAAATGAGCCCCAGAACCGGGAGGAGAGGAGGAGAAGGAGAGAAAGGAGACGGAGAGGAGCATTGTGGGCCCCTTTGCTCCGGTCTCGACCACGGGTATTCTTGGGTTGATAATACAGATGTGGATGTTATTGCTTGAGAATACGCGTAGTCGAGTGGAGGCTTCATCATCTACAGTCGACCCAAAAGCAGAGCTCCAACCAGTAGAGTATACCGAGGCGTGACACCAGGCACATACGTGTGAATGTAGCGAGCTGAGCTAGTGATAGCGACACAGGGTGGTTTTTAATGAAGCACCCAGAGGTGACTTTTTCTGGGCTTTATTTTGTTCAATCAGAAATGGTTTTGTTATTTTAAAATGGAATTCACGGCTACAGCCAAATCCAATTGGATTGCCAGCAGCTGAAGAGTTGGGTTTTTTCTCTCTCTCTCTCACTCTGCTGGGTTTATCAACCATGTCCCTCTCTCACACCTGTGGAATAAATGAGTTGGTCTCGCTGGCCAGGTTTAGCCTTCCCTACTCGGCAGTGCTGCTGGAGATGACTCGCACCTTGCATTTAAGCTAACCCCCCTCCCCACCCCCCGTCCTGGGGGCATTAGTTTCGGGGAGCTTAAACCCAAAGTCCCCATACTCAGACTTTAATTCCAAACCCTACTTGATTACATTACCCTTGTCGGTCCGTGGTGCTTACAAGTGAGCCTATAATCTTATCAGCTGATGAGTGTATCTCACCGCCTGTCACACGCCCTGCAACAAACGTTTTCCCTCGCGCTGAGCGGAAATGTGCAAAATGAATATAAATTAAATTGGCTCCTCGGACGCAAGCGGGACGGTACAACGTGAGCGTAACCTCCCATCTCATCTGACTCCCCTGGCTCGTGCTATAGGAGCGTGTGAGAGTTTGATGCCTGAATCGGCAACAGGCGACATAACACATGAGTACATGTCAAGACTCGCACCCCTGGCTGACATCTCAGCTGACTGGCTGTATATAATTGGCAGGAGGGGATTACATGATCTATGCCAGAGGGGAAATTATGGGGTCGATGGATCTTACAAAAGCAATACAGACTACCCCCATATGTTTGAATACACACAAACACACACCGGGCGCAGCTGGGTTCACCGGGTCCAGTGTGCCAGTGGGGAAATAAGGGATTGATTGACTTTATGGGTGACTATTTTTAGTCAGAGTGATGGATGTTTATGTCTTTTATTGATCGAGTCGAGCTGTGGGTCTGAGGCGTTGTTGGACGTCGTGGTGTGCTGATTGATCAGGTGTTGGAATAAAACAGCCCCGGTTTACATTTTTGGTGCATTAGCATTATTGCAAAAGTTATAAATTAGAAAATCAACATTTCATTGCAAATTCAGCAATATATTAGCATTCGTTTGCAAATGTGCCCGTGATGAATTGCAGTCCTCTCATGCGCCACTCCGTGATTTCTTACTACTGCGTAAGCAAATCGGGTATTTATTAGCGTGGTGTGTAATTCTAATATATACCAATGTTCACCCTGACGTTGTGTAAACTTGTTAATCCGCCAAAGCCATTTCTGTGTTTTGTGTGTGTTTGCGTGTGCGCTACTAAGCAACAAAATGACTATTGTGAGGTCAGTTCCAGGTACCTAGCAACCAAAATCGCTCAGTTTCCCAGGCAACCGTTGCCTCGCACTCACTGTGTGGGTGATTGGCAGCCTTGACAACGGAGAAGGGAGTGACACTTGACCTCGCGTGCTGAATGGGAGAGGAGAAAGAGGGAGCGAGGAGCCAGTGTGTGGGTGGAGGGGGAGGGGGCGGGGGAGGGAGGGGACGCTTGAGGAGACAGACGGGGGACTAAGTGATAATCATTCCCCATTGTGATCATCCTCTAGAATGTTTCATAAGGCGTCATCTATACCCCCCCCCCCCCCCCAGCTGGGGTCCATCATCAGACACAGCACCCTCACGCGCTCCACCTGGGTGGAGAGGCCGGGCGGGCACTCCACATCTCATCTATTAACACTCAGCCCTGCACTGGTGCACGGCCCCCGCTGCACTGTGTCTTCTTTTATTTGTGATCTGCCTCACACGGGCCGCCGCGGGAGGACCGTATGACGGGCTCCTAAAGAAAATAATGGGTCACAGGTGCGGCGTGCACTCGAGACATTTTACTTTGGGCCCGGCGCGGCAGGTGTCTTTGACCCCTTTGAATTTGAGTGCTGTTAATGTGTCTGTGTGCGTGGTTTCCTCTTCTATGCACTGGTCAATTTCTTCAAAACTAAAAGTTCAATGCTGACTCCACCTGTGAAATGGTACAATGGTACAACTTAAATAAAATTTAAAAGCCGTGAGATGTCTTATATGTTTCCACCTTACTCCACTTTTACAATAAATAATATATTGTGCTTAACACAAGTCATGATGAGATAATTCAAGACTGTTATTATTTCAGTATGTACTTACAGACAAATTATTTTGTGGATGATTATTTTTAATATTTCTTCTACAGTTTATTTAAACCGTATATGTAGTCTTGAGATTGACAATCCATTTGTCACCAGCTGGTGGTGCTCGGTTGCTGCGCTGTCCTTATCATTCTCCCGTCGAAAAAACCTCTTTATAACAAAAAGAAACTAATTGAAAAGTAACAAATCTACTCTGAATTTAGTCTAAATGTGACTGCAATAAGTTGACTCTAAAAAAGAATAATTGAGGCTTACTGAAATCAAGAGTTATTGCTTCTTTATTTTCAAGATCACACTTCAAGTGCTTTACATTAAAGAAAAAACAACCTGCTTTTCAACACTACTGGCTGTTGCATAGGTAAATAAACAGCCAATATTAACGTTTGATTTCAGGATTAGATTAAACTATTCGGTAGATATGCTCTTCATAACAAAGATTTGTTTTATTTGTCCGTGTAAAACCACACATAAAATCAAATGGATAACTGAATGATTCAAGAGCAATTCAAAACCTTTGGTTTCAGCAGCTAAGTGTTAATCTCACACATTATCATTCCTCTAACCAGTGGAATGACCTAATGTTCTGACACGAGTGTCTTCATGAGGACTGTGGACCCGACCAGTAACATCACGCCTGAAATATCAGTGTCTGGAGAACGAGGTCCGCACATGTTTCTTTCTCGTAATGCTCTTGGAAAAAAGTTGACACTCTATTGATTTGATTTCACAATACAATAGGTTGCCAATAGAAAAATATGTTTTGGCAATTAACAATTTTTAGTGGTTAAAAAACAAAAGTGAGCGCAACAATGCCGAATATTTAAAGAGAATTTTTGGGACACAATTTGTTGAAAATAGAAGGTCCTGTTCAATGTGTGACAACAGATCAGGTCACGTAAAAAAAGGTGTCGTGGCGCTTTTTACAGCGGTTCACAAAAACTGAAAATCTCTAAGTGACCAGAGAGAAACCGCAGAAAATGTTTTTTTTAATTCTCAACTGTCCTCTGACCAGCTCAATCCTAATGGGCCCCGTCCTCATCCAAGTTCCTGGAAGTCATCCAGCTCCACAGGGGCTACTGATTGGCCGCTTCACAGGCATCTATCCAATCACTGTACACGTCGACTGCCTCCGACAGATCTGGGGAGCAACAGGTTAAGAGTGCAAATGATTTTTGTTGAGTCCGTACAGGATGATCAGTACTTGCAGAGCAATACAGATGTTATTTTTCTGTGAATTAAAGGCCGGCGCATGCTTCTGCGTTTGCGTCGACGCACTCGTTTCAATTCATGGTTCTGCGTGTGTTGCAGAGCAATTCACCGCCAGAATAACAGGCGGAGTAACGTGTTTTTATTGAAGACGACCTAGAGAGTCACGTCTATTTATTTATGTGTTTATTTATTCATCATATACTTTTTGCCCTGTGCATCGCCACTGCTGCTTTTCATCGCGGACACATTTGTCCCGTATTTTCCTCACAACTTTGTGCACCTCTCGATCGGCAACTCGAAATTGCTCCGTGAATCTCCCTCCGTGAATCCAACCAGCTACTACAACCCGCCAATGACGGCTTGTATAAGCGGTCATATTTGCGCATTTCTTCCGACAAAAGTTCTTCAATCTGATCCGTTCTCTCGTAAACATCCTTCGTTTTAATAATGGCGGTATCGGGCATTGAAAGCGGAAATGTGAGACTCCGTAAAGGATGTAGTTAGCGGACCAATCGCAGCCTTGTGTGCTGCGGGAGGCTTGCGTTGCTTGCGTCGCTATCGACGCAAGCCTAGAAAAATGGCTCGACACACGCAAGGACGCAAGGAGGTGTAAAAAGCGACGCAAGGGACACGCAAGGGGGGCTTGCGTCTGCGTTGCTATGAAAACGCAGAAGCATAAATCAGGCTTAAGTATGGAAAAGGTGGTTGTACATCGAAGGGGAGACCATAACCGGCCCCCAAGTTAATGGTAACTATGCGAGGGGAGGAGGTCTCGTTGAGCCATGCTGGGCCCTCTGTGCGATCCAGGTAGAAGAGCAAGAAAGAAAGAAAATGTTTAAATACTATTATCAGACAATATATACACACACTAAGAGCTGATAAAAATAATAGGATGCTATATTTATGTCAATATTTAGTTAGAGTATAAAGACAGAGGAGGTAACGTTCTCATCTAAACGTGCATTGAAAGGGATACAGGTGATGGGGGTTTGGAACTCCTCCAAGCAGACTGTGCATGATATGATTCCAGTATTTCTGCTTCTTTCCCTGTTGGAAGAAAAAAAGAAGAATAAAGGAAGTTTGTTAACAATCACATAATAAATCAACGAATGAAAGCAGGTAATTTGTGTCATAATCAGTACATTTTGACGTCACATGACTTCTCGTGATTGCAGAAGGGACAGGTGAACTGGGAGTCCAGATCCCCCGTCATCTTCTTCTTCGGAGGGGGCTTTCGTTTTGACTTGCGGCGACCCATCGCACACAAAGTGAGTCGAGTCTGTGTGAGGAAGAGACAATAACAAACACTCGGCTTAAACAGCGTCACACAACTTCGACGAGTATAGCACGCGCGACGTTTGAAAAGTACCCCAAAAACAGAGACAAACTTCGACTAGAAAACACCTCAAGCTTCTGCTCCTTATTGTTAGCAACTAAAGTTAGCAGGCTAACGTTAGCATGTTTGTTGTTGGTCTCCTGCACATTGTTGCCTCACAATAAAAGGGCGAGTTAAGCAGAATCCGGTAAGAGAGACTCTTTTTTCATGCTTCGAGAAACCGAAGCAAACCAACTTGATCACGATAGTTAAATATTATCAAGTAAAGGGTTATTATAGTTTACCTTTACTTTGAGAAAATACGCGTTGCGGTACAAGCGGTTTCCGTAAAGACCCGGCGCCGGCAACTGCGTTTGACGCTAAATGATTGGAGGAGAGGATGCGCTTCCCGGACGCTCATTGGCTCTGTGGTTTGTCAGTCATCTTGTTTGCAAGACGTCAACACCGGAAGTAGAATCCTACTGTTCCGTTGAGATAGTGGAATTCTTCAATGGTATTTTAGTTTTTTTTGCAAGAAATTCTGTGGAAAGCTGTACGATACTCAGACTTTTGTTAAGACAATATGTACAAGTGTTCACCATCTGTACATTTTGAAACGTGTATGCATTCGGCAGTTGTAAAAAGTTGAAGTTAAGTTAAGGCCGGCGCATCCTTCTGCGTTTGCGTCTGCGACGACGCACTCGTTTCAATTCATGGTTCTGCGTGTGTTCACCGCCAGAACAACAGGCGGAGTGACGTGTTTTTGTTGAAGACGACCTAGAGAGTCACGTCTATTTATTTAATTGTTTTTATTTATCATAGACGTTATTGCCCCGTGCATCGCCACTGCTGCTTTTCATCGCGGACACATTTGTCCCGTATTTTCCTCACAACTTTGTGCACCTCTCGACCGGCAAACCGGCGTTTACGGCGATCTTCCTCCGTGAATCCAACCTTCTTGTACAACCCGCCAATGACTGCTTGTATAAGCGGTCATATTTACGCATTTCTTCCGACAAAAGTTCTTCAATCTGATCCGTTCTCTCGTAAACATCCTTCGTTTTAATAATGGCGGTATCGGGCTATGAAAGCGGAAATGTGAGACTCCGTAAAGGACGTAGTTAGCGGACCAATCGCAGCCGTGTGCGCTGCGGGAGGCTTGCGTTGCAAGCCTAGAAAAATGGCTCGACACACGCAAGGAGGTGTGAAAAGCGACGCAAGGGGGGCGTGCGTGCGTGCGTGCGTCTGTCTGTCTGTCTGTCTGTCTGCGTCGCTCTGAAAACGCAGAAGCATAAATCAAGCTTTAGGCTACGAACTAACTAAGTTAATTAACGGTTACACTACGGTTGCAACAGCGTGGACAACGACAGAACCAGAACACAATCAGTTACTCTCATTTACTCACATTTTTAAAGACACACTTTAAAAACCACGAGAGGAGTATTCACTCCTATAAAACATGTTAAAACCTCTTAAACTTGGCGTATTTTAAGCATCTAACAAAAACTCCGAGAAGAGGAAACCGGAAGTGCAGAAATGCCGATTAGCCGTGCAGTGAAATGTGCTAATCGCTAAATCACTGTTCCCACGCGGTGGCGACAGAAGCGAACTCTCAGGTTTGGTATATTGTCTAAAATGCTCCCGTTTGATGTTTTAATGTGCTCTGCGTATTTGAGTGAAGAATTCGGTTTAAATGGCGCTCGTCTTCTCTTCGGTGTTTGGTTTGATGTCTTGTGGTTCCACCGTATAACGTAAATTAGTATTTTTGCTAACGCTTGATTAACTAGCTTGATTTTACCAATTTAGCCTGGTTAGCTATGGACTCTCGCAACATTACGTTGACTTTAAATGAGTACAACGCTTGAGATGCTTTTACTTCAGCTGGTTGAGTATTTATAAATCGTCAAATGGTGGAATTTTGGATTTTGTGTGTTCTGCACTTTGACAATTTCTTGTTTTATTGCTAGTCCAATGGGAATAAAGAACCATCATTTATGTGCATGCAGGGCTGTAGTGGAGGGTAAACGCAAGTAAACGCCGTTTACTTAGCTCTGGAATTTTGGAAATAGCGTTTACGCATCTCAAAGTTCCATGCGCCTTGTATTCTTCCGTTGGAATAATCCGAAATAAACTTGGTGTAATTTTAAAACAGCTAAGACTACGTTTCCTATTGTTGAACATATAAACGCCGTAGTCTGAATCCTTTTCATCTGCGCTGTATTGTGGTTTGTGACCATCCAATCAGTGCCTTGCGGCTGCAGCAGCGACACCAATCAGGATCCAGGAGGTGTGTAAACACATACACGTTGTGGATCAGCCCAGTGGTCCCCAACCTTTTTTACCTCACGGACCGGTTTCATGTCAGACAATATTTCGCGGACCGGTCGAGAAGGTCCGACGGGGGGGTGTAGTAGTCGTTGCGGGCGGAACGACCGACGGGGGGGAAGTAGTCGCGCGCTCTGTGTTCGCTGGTCGTGCACGATAAAAGGACAAGAAAAACGCCTGGTGACGCGCGCACATAATTAGGAGAAAATCCGGTCAATTTTCAAAATAAAAACATTTCCAGAAAAAAAACGCTTTCTGTGGTGCGGTCCGGTACCAAACGGACCGGTACAGGTTGGGGACCAATGGATTAACCTGCCTGCCTACCTGTTCGGAATGGATTACCGCCGGTAATTAGCAATGGATATCAGGCGATATTTGAAGAGACCATCGAGTGCTCCCACTCCCACAGATGCCTGCAAAAGGCCTCAAGTACAAAGTAAGACTAAAGAAGATAAATTCACGTTTTTAAACGTTGTTTTGGTTCGCACAACATCGCATTAAGACAGGGACAAACGCTATTAATAACGTGCTTTCAAATAAGATGATGCAGGTAACAAGCCAGCCTTCCCGGTCCCATCTAAATAGGCCTAATAAAATGAGTAATTATCCTCACTTATATTGCTGCAGATTAGGCTAATTCATTGAAAAATTGTCAACAGATTATGTGCAAGACAGTTAGACATAGCTAAGAGAAATGCTAAGTGAAATATTTTAGTTTAGCTATAGAATCTTCAAATTTCGCGGTCTAAGTCAAATATATTAGTTTTTTACTTTCATGATGTCCTGCTCTCGCATAGAAAACGTGAGCGGGGAGCAAAGCTGTTGCTTCACTGAATAGGTCTATATGCTTAATCAATTATTTGAAGTCATGAAAGTTGTAGAGTAGCCTGTAAGCAAAATACACTTGGCTTACAGGCTTGGGTTCATGGCTCCTCTGTGCAAGGCAGGACCTGACGTGGAGGACAGGGAGGCCCTCTGGCAATTGTCTTGTTTTGTTGACATACTTTTCTTTACTGTTTTCTTAAATTTAATAAACTACAAACTACTAACACATTTATTCATTGTCATTGATTGTATATGACTTTTACTGATAACATAATGCAATATAGCCAGGACAGCCTTACAGAGTCGCAACGCTTTGTGTTGCGTTGCTTCGCATCGCGTCGAGGTCTGTATGATCACAAAATTCAGTTTACCCACCTCTAATTTTACCACTACAGCACTGTGTACATGAATTCATTGGTTAACGTTATTTTCTAAAGAGAAACCTATTCTGCACAGTGAGTACTACTCAAATCTTTTTGTAAATCTTGCTCTCAATACTTTTGTACTTGTACTGTAAACAAGCATTTTGTCCACAGAGCAGTGTTTCTAAATGCCACTAAAGAAAGTCAGCGCTTCATATAGAACTTTTCCAGTCAGTGTGAAAGAAAATGCATCGTATGTTTGTAAATGCTTGAGTGCTTCAGTTCATTAGACATGATTAACAACATTCTTATGGCTTTAGGTTTGACCTCAACTGGTCTGGTTATGTTTGGTTTATTGTTTTGGTCAATAACAATTAAAGTAGTTTATGAAATAAATCTATAATGATTTTGCAAAATGACCTAACCTTAAAAACACACGTTGGCAAAACCAACCGCTTAACCATAATCCACTCGGTCAGTCATCACGTCTAACAAAACCCACAGAAACGCTCACTGCTCCTACATAAAGATGAGAAGGTCTGCTTTCTGCTGCATCCATGTCCCTCAAGTGCGTTTCTCTGGTGCAGAAAATGTCTGTGTTGTGGACGGCGAGGGCTCTCTGCCTGGGTGCTGTGGCTCTGTCTCTCGTTGCGGAGCTGCTGGTCCGTCTCCTCCGTCGCCTCCGGCCCGCCGGGACCCTCAACGAGGTCCTCTTCTTTCCCTCGGAGGTGGTCTGTGTGCAGCACCTCTTCTCTTCCCTGCCAGCCTGGTGAGCGAAACATTATCGCTGCAATGAGTAAACAAAAGGAAAAGAAGCGTTGTGTGTTTTCCTCTGGGCTGCTGTGCAGTGGATTGTCATTGGGGCCCCTAATGCAGAACACTCACAGCCCCGAGATGCTTTCGCTAAGTGGATTTAGTCAGTGCAAATTCCATTCCTTATCCACTCCACTTATTTTTTGCTTAACAGGGCATTTATTTTCATCCATCCATCCATCCATCATCAAACCGCTTATCCTGCAAACAGGGTCGCGGGGGGGCTGAAGTCTATCCCAGCCAACTTCGGGCGAGAGACAGGGTACACCTTGGATTGGTCGCCAGCCAATCGCAGGGCTACACAGAGACATACAACCATTCACACTTACATTCATACACTTACGGGCATTTTAGAATCCCCAATTAACCTGATCCCCAGAGCATGTCTTTGGACTGTGGGAGGAAGCCGGAGTACCCGGAGAGAACCCACGCAGACACGGGGAGAACATGCAGACTCCGCACAGAAAGGCCACTGGGCGGAGTTGAACCCAGGACCTTCTTGCTGTGAGGCGACAGTGCTAACCACCACGCCATTGTGCCGCCCGGGCATTTATTTTACCTACTGAATTTCTTTTCCACATAAAATGATGCTTTGATAACCGCATTTAAATAAAATTATTAACTACTCTGTTATTTGCATTTCTGGCAGCTTGAAAACTGCATTATATTTGCTTGAATAGAATTATTGAATCGCCACGGTTGGTTTTCTTCCTTTCCCGCACGATTTCACTGTACAAATGGAAAAAAATCCTGCACGGTATTTAGGTCTCTCTGCCGAAGATCAGCTGATAATGTGACGATAAATACTTTGTCTCCCCCAGTCCCTGCATCTGCCCGTTGCGCCACGGCCCAGAGACTTCTCTGTCCCGTCTTCTCCGCCACGTCATGTCCGCCTCCTCCTCTCTGGACTTGTGCATCTTCGCCTTCTCCAACGCAAACCTGTGCCGCGCCGTGCTGGCGGTGCACGCTAAGGGGGTCACCGTCCGAGTCCTCACCGACAAGGACTACGCCGCCATCACTGGCTCCCAGATAGGGGTCCTCCGCAAGGCCGGTAAGGGACACACATCACTTAACCTTTCAAAAAATCACTTTGAAGTATGCAAACTATGTGACTTTAACAATCACTGCAACCGAGCAACTCCTGTTTGGGTAACGGGGCGACGATAGGAGGGGCGGCACGGTGGCGTGGTGGTTAGCACTGTTGCCTCACAGCAAGAAGGTCCTGGGTTCGATTCCGCCCAGTGGCCTTTCTGTGTGGAGTCTGCATGTTCTCCCCGTGTCTGCGTGGGTTCTCTCCGGGTTCTCCGGCTTCCTCCCACAGTCCAAAGACATGCTCTGGGGATCAGGTCAATTGGGGACTTTAAATTGCCCGTAGATGTGTGAATGTGAGTGTGAATGGTTGTATGTCTCTGTGTGGCCCTGCGATTGGCTGGCGACCAATCCAGAAAGTACCCTGTCTATCGCCCGAAGTTGGCTGGGATGGACTCCAGCCCCCCCGCGACCCTGTGTGCAGGATAAGCGGTTTGACGATGGATGGATGGCGACGATAGGAAACCGAGGTTTCCACAGCGAGCCTTTCTAATGAGTCTGAGCCATCACGCTCTGGGAAATATTTGTGTCTCACTTTCTGTCTCGGCCCTCTGCATTTAATACATTAGTGCCGCTGTATATTGTCAAGTAAGAAATAAGTAAGTAAGAAATTGGCAAAGCGGGCTGCGAGTTTCATTAGGCAAAGTGTTTCCACAGCTTGTGTCAGGGGAGCCGAGCCGCTTTGGCACGAGGGACAAACCACTGCAGTTTTCATGATTAATCTGTTTGGTCTGCCGAACATTCAATTTAATATTTTTATGATCCTCAAATAACTGAAAGTGACTGGTTTACTATCGCCCGTTTTACTTTTCCCTCAGAAGGGGCACACCGGCTGCGTCCTGGGGTCAGAAATGGAAAGATTTCTGAAAGACCGATTTCCAAAAAGCCAAAAGAGGCATTCTACGCAGAGCGATTGGGGGTTCAAGGGGATCCGTTCCTCTAGAAGAGTAATGGACTGTTAAAAACTATGAACACTAAAAACACGCTTTAATAGCTTCTTTAATAACAGGATTTACATGTCTAAAGTCTCACTGAGTTTTGTCTGCAGTCCAGTGTAAAAGTTACCCGTATAAACGCTTGGTTGTCCTACAAAAGCCACTGTGATTGTTTGGTAAGAAATCACTGATTTCCATCTTTCGAGACTTTTTAAAGCTGATGGCATAAAATACGTATCAAGTAATTATAATAAACATTTGTAAGAAATCAGTGCAGGGTTAGAGTTGTTACTTTACAGCTTATTTGTAGGTTTTTCAATCTTAATGATTTCTTCCTCTGTCTAGAGAAGAAGAAAATGAACCGGTGTCTAATGGTTTTATGGAGAGGATGGAAACTTTCATGCAACCGTAATACATTTTTGATGTTGCCGAGCTTTTGTTGAAACAATGTCGCCGTGTGGTTGAGTAGTGAAATGTTTTCTTTAGGTTTAGGTCAGAACCCGACTGCTCAGAAGCCGCTCTATCGGCGCTTTCGGCGTTCCATCCGTTCAGTTGTCCTTTAATGTCTTCACACAGAGCAGGCTGTGTAGATCCTCCACATTTTAAGGGGAACATTCTCCCCCCTTCTGCTCCCCATCAGGGATCTGCGCGCGGTGCGACTCCAGCTCCGTTCACATGCATCACAAGTTCGCGCTGGTGGACGGCCGGCTGCTGCTCACCGGCTCCCTCAACTGGACGCTGACGGGGGTGCAGAGCAACATGGAGAACGTGCTGGTCACCGAGGAGCCGGACCTGGTGCGACCCTTCGTCGAGGAGTTCCACAGGTTGTGGGAACGGTGTGGCCGTGGGCCTCTGGTTAAGTGACCAAAAGTCTGACACCAGATCCAGCGATGGAGGTAGAAAGCATGCGCGTTAAGTCTGGCAAGGCATGCTGGGCCGCAACACATGGGCAGAATTTGATCTTGACTTGTGAAGTCGAGCTTTGGACTCTTTCACTTCTCGGTTTAGAAGACTTAAAGTGGTTGTGTTGGTGTTTAAGATGGTTCTAGTTTTATGGCCGTTTTTAAAATATATATATATATTGGAAGAGTTGCCTAATTAACCAGAGTCTGCAGTTTCGAAAACATGTTTGATTTATTGGCACAGGCCTAAGATTATTTTAGTCAAGTTAATTTTTGTTATATATACTGTTTTTAATGAGAAATTATTCTAATTCCTGTCATAATGTAATATATAGTTACATTTTCTCCCTTTGGAAGAAAGTAGATTATCTTTGGTACTTTGTATTTGAGTTTAATACCTTTTTTTTTTTTTTTTTTTAATAAAAAATACTAAACCATCAGCTAGTGTATGACTGTGTTTCACTGGCTGTGCAAACCAGTGCTCTGGGGGACCAGGTTTGGCCGAGCATCAATAAAAAAACCCTGTTCCACAATCTAATTCTGGCAGGTCTGTTGCATCACTGCGTGCAGCCGGAGTTTGATTTCTCTCCTGCACCAACATGATTTTCTTTGACTCTGGCGTTATGATACAAAAAACATGCTAGCACTCCAAGCTTAACAATATCACCCACAGAAAACCCCAATGGAGCGGCTGTGCCCTGGGCATGATTAATGTGCCTGTGTGCATGAATCCTCTGCAGCGCTCCCAGTCAGGATAATGCTAGTCGATGGGGGTCAGCCAGGACCACTTAGGTTTAGTGAGACTTAATATTTCAGCTATTTGCATCAAAGGGAACGTTTGACTCAGCTGCTGTATTTCCTCCACGTGTGAAAGTGATCCATTCAGCTGGGAGTCATGCGGTTTATATGAGTTACCAGTGCGTAATGCCCGCGCCTTCCAGCACATTATTCCGCAGGGGCACCCGAAGTTTACGATTGGAAACCGTATCACAGCGGACCGAATAATGCCGGAAGTGTGGAGATTTGAATTTCGAGGTAAAAGTCCTGCAGGACAAACGCTCGTGCAAGATTAACATAGTTCCATAGCTCCAGGAAATTCAGATAGTGGGTTATTTTAAACGTATGAAATGTCATTTTTCATGACTTCATCTATAATTTATTGCCCAGCAGTTTAAATTCCCGTAAAAGTAATCGTTTTTGGATTGGTTTGATTGATTATGACTTGAATCGTGTAAGTTATATTGTACAAATGGTCGGTTTAAAAACGGAGAGCATTTTTCACTGGTTTGTACAATGGACAATCAATGAATTTAGTCAAAATAAATAACACGTTAAGTGATGATGAAGTAGCGGACTTTATTTTGACATTAACTACCGGAAATCCAGTGCATGTAACCGCGGCTGACTTGACTAGAGAAAGAGTGGCCGTCCCGGTGACAGGCGCGTGCACAGCCGGGAGGTCCGGGAGCAGAGAGCCCGACGGCAGCGCGCCCCACTCGGCTCTCCGGTAGCGGAGGGAGACTGCGGGACGGACGGAGGAGACGGACTCACAAACCACAAGACGAGGCGAGTTTAAAGCGCGCGCCGCGGCGGCACCACGTTACCGTCCACGTTACTTATTAATGCCACGAGTCGGTGGGGCTGGTCGGGCAATTTAGGCAAACGTTAACTGCCGGAGGACTACTGCCACTCTTCTCAGGGAACTATTTGTATCTTGTTCTCAGTGCGTCAGGCTGCTTTGTAGAAATAAAACACAATTTGATTGATTCACGTGTCAACAAGTGCACGACCCCATGTGCGGAACGGTGTCGTGGTGCGCGCGCCCTGCGCCTCCAACCAGTCCAGACCTCTACATTGATGTGACGTTCTTCTTCCTATGCGAGATGACTAGTCTACTGAGGCCAAAAAAACCCAACACACACGTGTGTCACACACACACACACACACACACACACACACACACACACACACACACACGCGTGTTACGTGTTTTCACACTGGCGCGTGGATTCTCAGCGTTCTGCTGAGTGGATTCAGCAGCAGGCCGCCATGTCCTCCTCTTTATGGTCCTGGAAGTGGATCTGCTGAGCTGGGATCTCAGCAATCAGGGGGGAGTACAGGACTCAGGGGAAGGGAGGGGGGGTCGGATGGGTCAGCCAGCCTCATGATGCAGAAAGATGGGAGGAAGCAGCGCGTGGGTGAGATGCGGATGGATGATGACAGCAGGGATGCTTGGGTGGATGAAAACGAGACGGAGAGGGGGATGGAGGGGAGATAGAAATGGGTGTGAGTTTAAACTGGTTGATGGGTGAGGTGCAGAGGGTGGGGGGGCTATTGTCCCGATCCCTCACCCCACCCACTCTTCACAGCTCGTGTCTCAGCATTCACCGCGCCCATAAGTTTACGACGGAGACGGGAGAGCAGGCAGCGAGTGACTGATCGAGAGAGGGACTGTAGAAGGATCTCTCCCTGGTTGTGAATCAGGGGTGAGGGATGGGTTGGGGGGGGCAACAACAACAGCATCTGCTCAAATATCACATTGGATGAATTTCAGGCACGTGAGTGTAAATCCTCAAATTGCTTCCTCAATTCCTCAATCTGAACACATGACTATTGTGTACCAGCCCCCTCCTCCCCCCTCCCCCCGCCCACCAGGGATATATAGGTTTCTATTTAGTTCTTTAGCTGCACACCCTTACCACCGTAGGCAGTTCTTAACAAACAAGAATAACAAAAACCTGCAAGTTGTTGGCCATTGACTCTTGAAGAGAATAGTGTTATTTACATAGTAATGATGACGACAAAGTAAAAAAGATCCCACTGTTTGCAAATTATTTAACTGTTTCTGAACACAGTCTCACAGCAAAACGTGTAATAGCTACGTTGTGGAACGTGGTATTCTCACGCTTTCTCCCCAAAATTGTGATAATACTACGTTTTATTTTGGCCCATTCATTTACATTGCCTTGCAACTACGTCACTAGAAACTAATAAACGGAAGGTCTTCTACATTCTCTGATAGAAGATTTTGAAAATATAACGCATACTTCTCGCTCGAAATTCCATCTAAATGCATACAAATGCTGATGCTTAAAATGTTGTGTTTTTCACAGATAATAGACCAACAGTCCGCCATTTTCTTTTTAGCTGAGGGAAAGTTGATAGTCACGTGACCTAGTTGCAAATGAAACATTGTATTCTCACGCTTTCTCCCCAAAAGCGTGAGAATACCACGTTCCACAACGTAGCTGTTACATGTTTTGCTGTGAGACTGGGTTGGTTTCTGACTTGTAAATGAGCAACTAAATAAATAAGAGAACGTTACAGAAGGAATCCGCTGCTTTCGTTATTCATCTTGTGGCTTTGGGAATTTACTTAAGTTGAACCTGCAATAACTTCTGTTAGCACCTCCTCTTTATGCCGGATTCCTGTTGTATTTCTGATTAAGGATCATAGTCGTTATCCGTTGATTATTCTGCTGTTTAATTTGCTCATTTAATACCAGGAATTGTTTTCCGACAGCAACCAATCCTCACACATTGAGAGCAAAGGATTTTGGCCTTTCTGTCATGGAATAAATGAAGTGATTAGTCACAGAGATGCTGTTTTAAATCCAGGTCGGCTTTGGACACGCTTGCTCATAAAGTCAGGGAGAGTGACCGTTCCTCTCCTGCTGGGTGTGACAGATGGCTCTGGCCAGAGACCCGGCGGCGGCGGCGGAGCAGAGGGACGCGGCCGACCAGAACTTTGATTACATGTTCAAGCTGCTGATCATCGGCAACAGCAGCGTAGGGAAGACCTCGTTCCTGTTCCGCTTCGCCGACGACTCCTTCACCTCGGCCTTCGTCAGCACAGTGGGCATCGACTTCAAGGTCAAGACCATCTACCGGAGCGACAAGCGGGTCAAGCTCCAGATCTGGGTTAGTTGGGACTGTTTCTAGACACGGGCTGTAAACATAAACTTATTGCTGTGAGGTGTAGTCGAAGCATAGAATCATTGTTTATCTGAACAGGGCCCAACTCTTGAGTGGGTTCGACCAGATAAAGAGTTTAGTAATATAATATATATTTGTATAAATACACACGGAGGGAGAGAGAGCTCAAGTAGGCTCCACAGTCACTATATGAGCAACACTAAGTACAAAACACTGCAGCCTCTTTAATGCCGGAGCTGTAATCTGTCTAGAGGTCCTGGAGTGCAGCCCGAGGCGGCGGCAGAGGGGGCTGTGCGTTTGAAGGCGTTGTTGCGCAACATGGACCGTTTATCCCCCCCTCCCCGCGTTGCCCGGTCGGTATCTCTTGCACGCCGGCGCCCGTCATGCACGTGGAGCAAGCTTGTTCCTCTGCAGACAACCGCGCAGCTAATGGCAGTCGATGTTCAACACCGTCCCCAGACAGCAGGCTTCATTAAAGATTAATGCATTGGGGGGGGGGTGTGCTCACAGCGTGGACTGACACCCGGGAGAGATCTATTACTGAATGTTGATGGAGGGCGAGGGCTCAAGCCTGGAGCATATATGTATAGGCCGGCGTGCTCACCGGACTCTCTCAGGGTTGTCATGTGTTCACAGGACACGGCAGGGCAGGAGCGCTACCGGACCATCACCACGGCGTACTACAGGGGGGCCATGGGCTTTCTACTGATGTACGACATCACCAGCCAGGAGTCCTTCTGCGCCGTGCAGGACTGGTGAGCTGGACTGGTGGTCACGTGCCTTCCTGCGTCTCGGCCGTTATCAGCAGGAGCATATTTGCATTCTGAATTCCTACATTGTGCTGGGAGAGATGGAAGGTTTTAGCGGACGTCCCCTGCAATAATGTGTAATTGTATTGTTTTTTTTACTTAAAACAATGCAATCACACATTATTTTGGACCCGTGTGTTTACCATACATAACGTCCTGTAGCTGAAGTGCAAATCTAAACCATAACTGAATTATTATTTGATTATTTTTACACATATCACAGCTGTCATCTGAACATTTTATTCTTCTGCCACTGTTTGCCCTGTAAAATCATATTCTGTAAAAATGCAAAAGTTTCAGAATTCACTATAAATAATTCAGTAAAGTACAGAAATCTATTGGCATTTGATAGTTTAGAGTTTTTATAAAGACACAACAATTTAGTACCTGCCATATACACGTCATATGCTGGAACGATGCCGGTGCATTAATAAGTAAGCAGCAAACTATTTGTCACAGCTGTTTGAAGTGGAGTTGATTTGAAACTCTTGTAAGTTTTAATTATAAATCGTAAAGTCCCTCTCAGACAGAAGTAAAACAAAATAGAAGAAATGTAGCTAAGTAGAAGTTTAAAGTTGTGTGAAATTGAAGTATTCAAGCGAAGTACCTCCAAACTGTACTTAAGCGCAGCTCCATAGTAACTACTGCAAACTCGCTGTGTGAGAATGTTGCATTGCCGTTTCCCAGGGCGACCCAGATCAAGACGTACTCGTGGGGCAACGCTCAAGTAGTGCTGGTAGGCAACAAGCTGGATTTAGAAGAAGACCGGCAGGTCCCCACTGAAGATGCCCAAAGACTGGCTACAGAGCTCGGTTGGCACACACACAGACACACACACACACACACACACACACACACACACACACACACACACACACACACAGCAAGGAGACACTGAACCCAGCCTCTTGCCCTCTCCGTAGGCTTCCAGTTCTTCGAGGCCAGCGCCAAAGACAACGTCAACGTGAAGCAGGTGTTTGACGAGCTGGTGGACGTCATCTGCGAGAGGATGAACGAGAGCGTGAACGGCGACGCCACTCCGTTGGCCAACCACGATGAGGCCGGCCTGAAAGAGACGCCCCGCAGCGGCCTGGCAGGCTGCGGTTGTTGAAAGTTAATAGAATTGTCCGAAAGTCATCATGTAGATGTACTTATTCATGGTACTGCAGCCGTTTATGGGATGCTTCTTTTTGATTTGATCTTTTCACAACTGGCTGAATGTGACTGTTACACTGAGATGCCAAAGAGTTGTACTGAGCAGCTGTGCCTTTTTTTCTTTTGTAGCACGTCGCCGCTGCTTCATTACTTGTTTAGTGGGTTTGCGGCACCTGTTGCAGGCGAGGATGCACCTGAATGGCAGGAGCCGTTGCGTGGGGGATATCTGTGGTTTGGTGTCGTGTCGCCCCCTTGTGGCTGCTATGCGGAAATGCACCAGTGGCTCGTTACCACATCAATGTGTGTCGGGGGTTCTAGCCTGCTGAGGAAGAAGGTTCAAGCATACCTCAAAGGTGATGTTTATGGTGCAGTCTTGTTATTACCATGATGGAGGGATATCGTCTTTTAAATTTAGATTTTTCTTATTACGGGGTTGCACTGGTTAATGCTTATTCAGTATTTCCTTTGCCGGGTTTATTGTGTCTCTATGTGGGGATTAAAAGATGTGGATGCATACAAGATGTCTGTTGGCTTTCATTTGCACAAAGTCTATTACGTAAATATTATTTTTCTAAATATATATTATTTAACTAAACTAGGGTCATTCAAATCATTTGTTCCCCAAATGTTTTGTTTTGATATTTTCATAGCAAATTTAATTACTCCTCAAGTTCTAATATATGAATTAGTCATTTATTTGTGCTGTTGAGCTCTGTTGGATTCAGGAAATCGTTCATGATCAATATTATATATATTTCAATGCCGGGAAGTTTTCTGTTCTATTTTGAAAGGGACTTTGGTCACCAGGAAAAGTCGGTGACGTACAGGGCATGAACTTTTTTATCTATCCTGTGAGAGGATAAAGGGACATGTGAAAGCCTTGCTGAGCAGACACACGGCTGCACAGGTAAGAGCCTTGTGCTTTTCATACTTTGAATCAGATTATGCAAATATCAAGGTGACTTTTCCAGCTACGGTAATACAACTAAGGACGGAGAAATACTTAGTTAGATCATTGATGTCTCCCTCGTAATCCATCATGTGTACTTTCAGGTAGCTGATAACCTGCTTGTTATTGGCTCTAATGTTGTCGTCATATTTGAATGGGTTCATTTGTGATTTACACGGTGATTATTAGTTCACCCCAGAATCGTCCAACTCGGTTCTCCTTAATATACATTAAAAACAAACATTTCAAATAGACAGCTGGTGTATTAAACCCCAAATGTTCTCTGACATTTTAAGTTGTGAGAAAGCGACCTTCCATTAAACACATTCCAAACAACCAACACGTGATATCAAAGCAATGGCCTCTTTCAAACTGTATGTTCCCTCTAAATACTACAGGTAAAGTTGCAATAAGGAAGCCACAAGGATCAATAAATACAAAACAGATCCCATCTCTGACTCAGAAATAAAGTCACGCAAGGTTGGGAACAAGGGTGTGTGTGTTTTATGACTGTTTTTTTATACTGCAGTGTGACAACCAGCAGGCTTTTAAGGGGAATGATTTCAATGTGTGCTTGAAAATACTTTAAATAACTCACAGGCCGGGCCAAACGGCGGTTAAATGTGACTATGAACAAGTGGCTTATCTCACACGGCGACAGAGACCCTGGGAGGACGTCAGTGGGACAAACTGGCCACATTTAAGGGAGATTCAGGCCCCTCGTGTTTTTCCTGTTACCGCGGTTAATGAATAACCGGAGCGAATGCCGTTTGACCCATGTCGGTGCTCGCTTAGGTTGTCAGACATCCTCGTAGCGCTCGTTTTTCTATGAGAGGTCGAATACAAAGTTCTGCAGTTAACCAAAGTCCTGTGAGAGACAAATACAGTTGTGTGACCAGTTATACCACAAATTAGCTCAGTTTAACTGTTTTCTTCTCTTTTTTCAATGAAAAGGTGAATAACAGGTCGAAGGAAAAACAAACGGCAAGATGTGTTGCTCCGGCTTTCTCAAACTCATGATGTTCGTCTTCAATGGCAGCATCTTTGTAAGTGGCAAAAAAATGAATCTACTTCTTCAACTTCTGTCACTCTGCTTCTGTTTGGCATAATTACTGAGAAAACAGACGAGGGAGCTTTTCCCTGTGGCCTTGTGTGACATTCTCCTTTGCAGCAATATATTAGCTGTGTGCCTCCTGTATTCAGTCACAGCTGACAAACACAGGAAAAGACGAGAAGAATTATACCACTCACTTGTCTCTAAGCTAAAGACAACGTTATCGTCAGGAGATAGAAACCAAGCTCGCTCACCATAAAGATGTTGAGGCTGGCGCTGCCAGCATTAAAGTGAGGGCTTCTAATTTAAATTATTTTCAGGCTAAACTTCACTCGCAGGTGATCACATCTCTCATCCAAAGTTCATCAGAGAACAGGCATTTTTTACAGGGCTACAACGAAACCTTTTTTGGATTCTTAACGTTTGTTCCTTCCTGATGATGACAACAAAAGCCTCCTTCCTGCACGTCGGCACTGCAGAGTTGACCACTGTTTCTCCGTGTCTCTCTCTTCTTTCCTCGCCCAACACGCAGTTGGCAGGCGTGTGCATCCTGGGCGTGGGAGTGTGGGTGAAGGTGGACAGCGGTTCTCTGCTGGGTCTGCTGGAGAGCGTGGATGGCGCCCCGCCTGGTGTCTCCCAGCTGGCCAACGTCGCCTACCTGCTCATTGCAGTGGGCGCCGTGCTGCTGCTCATCGGCTTCTTGGGCTGCTGCGGCGCCGTCAGGGAGAGCAGCTGCATGCTGCTGACGGTGAGCGACGTTTGATGCATCAGTGAAAGACGTTTCGAGAATATGCGAGACCTTTTCAGCTACTTCAACGTACTGTATTAAATAATCTGGTTCAATAAGATAAGATGTATTCATTGTCTGACGTCTGGTAGAATGACGTATGTTCAGAATAACAGTTTAAAAAAATATATAGCCTCTTCTTTTTGAATTAGAACCGAGGAGACATGAAATGTGAACTTGGCCAACTATAAAGGTTCATGTTTTAAAGCAGAGTGCCCTCATACATGAATATTTTAGTAATTACCTTTAGGTTTGCTGTCAGTCTGATTAAATGCTCCTTATCCAACCCTGTTCCCCAGTCGGTGAGGATTTATGGAGACACAATGCTGCCTTACGTTAATAGTTTTACCTGATCCATTACTATTTTCACAACCATCCAGTTCTTCAGCATAATACTGATTATCTTCATCGTCGAGGTAGCGGGAGCTGTGGTTCTGCTCGTCTTTAAGGATGTGGTAAGTATCTCTCAAGGCCCAAAACAGGATGCACTTGGCAATGATTGTCACTTGATCCGATTTTAGTTTTTTAGATTTAGAAACCTGAAACAAATGTTACCTCCTTAGGCTGAGCAGATTCTTGACAGTCTGGAGGATGAAGTTAAAACGAGCATTAAAGATGAGTATGGACGCAACAACCGTTTCACCTCTCTCTGGAACGCCACCATGGAGGAGGTACTGCATTTTTATTTACTTATTAATCTTTTACGTGAAGTAAAGTCCCGATACAACATTTTTATTCCCATCCAACATCTCAGCCAACACCAACAGATATTTGACTATTTGAATACACTGTGGCTTTGCAGTACTTTGTTCAGATTTGGGACTAACACCTGTGGTTTCCTTCTAGTTTAAGTGCTGCGGATACAAGAGCTACAGAGATTTCAATGGCTCCGCTTTTTACAATGACAACGGAGGAGATCTTTACCCAATGACATGTTGCAATGAAACCATCCTGGTGTGCAATACGGACGAAGCACATGGTTCGGTACGAGGCCACTCTACTCTCGTTTACCTCATCGCCTGTGAGAAACAGAACCATCGGTTGCTCCTAATCTAAAACCTGGTGATTCCCTTCCAGATGGTTGATGGCTGCTTTACAAGGCTGCTGCAGCTGATCGAGGAAAACGCTGTGGTCGTTGCCGCCGTGGCTCTGGGAATCGCTGCTCTCGAGGTATCCCTCCCAAATAGACATTTTCTCTGTGCTATGCACTACAGTTGCTTTTATAGAGCGTTATTTGAATTAAATGGATTTCAACTTTTTTCACTTTATCTGTCATATTGCCATCTCCAAAAAAAAAAGAATGGCATTGTTAGGCAACAGCTGTTTAATTCCTGTCACATATCTCATTTACAAATACAATAAATTAACTTAGATGCCTTCTGAAATGGTCTACAAATACTGTAATAAGAACAAGAGCTTGTTGCAACACCTATTTTACCAATATTAATCAATATCTTTCTAAAAAGGACTTCTCAAATGGCAATGTGAGCAGTTCAGCGACTCAGTTTGACTCTCATTGTTTGTATTTGACGTTGAGGCCACTAAGGAAGTCTGATGCCAGACAACGTTAACAGTATCACCTTGGGGGAAATATTTCAAGGACAATTTGCCACAATTACTTGTATCTGAAATCCTTGACACTGTGTTTATAATTTATTGATAAACCGCTTTCTTCACAGCTTGCTGCCATGGTGGTTTCAATGGTCCTCTACAAGAATATTGGCAACAAAGCGTGATATTTCCTGTTTTAAATGAGATAATGTCATTCCAATTAGTGGAGAAATCATACTTTTAGGTTTTCTATATAGTTTTTCTATATGTAGACTTTTTTTATTGGATTCAAAACAGACTGATTATCAGAAAAACACACACTTATGTAGAGGATTAAACTGGATAAGTAGTGAATACATCTGAAACATTCTTAGTTTCAGAACTCCATTTGTACACAAGCTGTGATTTATTTATGTTTTAAGTAGTGAACATTGTTAGTGCTGATACATATAGTTAGTAATATATGATAGACTGAAAGGATCTGCTCAAGTCGTGTGATTTGTAAATGTGTCTCTCACACTCACTGCATGCTGCAATAATCTATTTTTGTATGTTCAATCATTTTGAAATAATAAATGTCACAGTATCATTCAGATTTTGGGGTGAAATCTATAAGAAGAGAGATTTATAAGAAATGTCTACACAAATTGGCAACGTCTTGGTGAGGCGTTCAACCAGGTCAACTCGAGGTCAAAGTCAAGGTAAACTCTGAGTCCCGTGTGGAGGCCTCAGGGAGCATCCTTTCAACTGGATGATGTTCCGGTTATAAGAGTTACCAGGGTAGTGCTCAGTGTTAGATTCATCATTGTGCAACTGCCTGTGCGACGCTAACTGTTTTTTCCAATTAGCTGGTTTATTTTCGCGTGCGTGAGGCAGATGTTTTGTGGGCGTGGCCTCACGGGACCCATGTCGATAACCAGGAAATAGACAATCGTTCGATCAGGTCGCTGTCGCGTGGTTTTTTGCGGGATGTTTCAACTGACAGATGGCGGTGAGAATCACTACACGTTGGTGAGGCTGTGGTTGAAATGCAGAGGACACTCAGCGAGGACAAGAGGGACAGACAAAGTAGGTAGTAGGTGCCGATGCCTGTTCGTAATACTCAAGCCACTAAATGCTTTTCGCTGGTGTTTTACATTAAAGACTCTGCACATTGATCTCTATCATCATGACGACATGCTACGCTGTGCAGCATCCGGATTGGACGCGACCTGTCATTTTGATCTGATACTCCCCGACATTGAGCAGCTACGTGTGCGTTAGTGCAGTGGTTCTATAAATATCTTGCTCTGTCTTTTTTAGAAGCAACTATGGTCAAGCCCATAGGATTGATATCAATATATTTTGGTCATAAGCCAATGCACTGAGCTTACTTACTGTCTTGTAACTCCGGGTCTCCATGCAACTGTGCAGAGCTTAGCAATGTTAGCATTAGCTTGCCCCAAGTGAGTGTGTGAGCTAGTGGTGCTCTCTGCCACTCAGGGCTGCATGGGTATTGACATCCTACTCTTTCATGGGTTTATAAACTGCTGTTCGCTTGCGTACATCACAGATTAAAGAAGTACAGACATTTTACATGTACATGCGTATTACGAAAAACGAATGTGAATTCATGTCCTCACAGTATAGCCTACAGTGTTTTTTACATGCTCTCTAGTCACAAACGGGCCGCTCATATAAGTCTATTCCCTCAACAGTCTGTGTGTTGTTATAAATAATATCAACGAGCTGCTAATACATTACACAGAGGAATGGAAAGGTGAGTGTGTTCCATGCTGCCTGGCCTTCTGTTCAGAGCTCTTTTAATTGGCACTTTACTCTTTACATGCAAATAAATTTAATTTCAACATATTCATTGCTGCTTAAACATTACAGAGCAGTTTACGCCAGACACGGTCAATACACGTTGTGTGTGTGCTTAGTGGGGCAGTTAGTGCAGTTTAATGTGTGCTCACATGCTGTGATATAGCCACCGGATGACCCTCCCCAGTGGCGTCATAATCTGGAGGAGTTGTCCCTCTTACTGTCATCGTAAAACGCTACGAACCGCAGTTAAATGCAACATGTGACCAGGCTCCATGTCTCTCGGTTAGGCAGTTTTAATGTCCATCTGCTGGCCCTCTTTTAAAGGTGAAGTTGAGCTTTAAATGAAGTCGAGATAAGCTGTGACTCTCACCTGTGCTACCTAAAAGGACATTCTCCATGATTTATTACTATACAGAAATACGCTCATCTCATCCAGGTTTTTCTTTCTCCCTGGGAAATACAGTTTGATTCCTGGTAGAGCCTTTTATGAAGGTTCCACCTAAAACCCTTCAGATCCCACTGTAAACGGTTCTACCCAGGACATATGTGAAAGGTTCAAGCCAGGACCTCTAGAGGTCCATGAGAACCCTGCCATGGTGTATGGTTCCATCCAGAACCCCCGTCCCTTCTAACCTGTCACCTTTTAGAGAGAGTTCAAGAAATAAAGTATGTTTCTGCTAACGAGAACCTAGCCCCAGAACCTGGCCTGAGGGTTCTACCAAGAATCACGACATTCCTTGACCGAATAGTTGATTTGGTTGATTGAAGTTGATTTTATCAAACAGGTGTGTAAAGGGAATTTCTCCTAAATAAAAGCATCTAGGAATCTAATAAAAGCAGAATTTAAAGTTGTGTGGGTACCAGAGATGTGAAGTTAATCAGCATGAAAAGACCCAGAGAGTCGATTAGATGATTGATCTTCTTACGTCCTCCCACCCTTCTATATTCCAGGGGTTTCATCTAGAAGCCTAAAAGCCGGGGCTGATGTGGTGCTGCATAACCCACAACTACCATGCCTCAGAGTTTTGGGAGGTTTTGTGGGGTCGATTGTGTGATTGTTTTTAACACCACAGTTATTGCATGTGTCTTAAACTTGTAACTTTGTTTATGTGCACATACACCTGGGCAGCAAAGCGATCTTTGTACAAATTAAAAAAACAATTAGAAGGAAGTCTTTGCTAAAAAAAACAACCTTGATAGCATTCAATTAAAAGAGTTCAAGGTCAAAAGTTTTCTCTGCAGTTTTCCACTCAAACCTTTACACCGTGTGTGTTTTAGGTCTGGTTTTATTGACTTCGTTTTTCCCGGCTGTATAAGCGGCAGTATAATAAAGTCAATAATTCTGAGAGGAAGAGGTGTGTTTTACTCAGACTGACCCTTTGTGAAAGTAGGATTCATCCTCATGTCCCCAGCAACTTTGGACTTGTGTTGAGAAGCAGCAGTTAGTTCTGCAGCTTTATCCCTTAAAAAAGTGAGTCAGCATTGTATTGTCTGTAATCGTGTTTAGAATCCTTGGTAAACTCTGCCCTCTTGCGGTCTATTCTGCAGCTATATGAAGGGAAGGAGGAATAAAGGAATATTTAGAATAAAGTCCTTTACATTTCCCATTCTTGTGTCTATATGATCCACAATGTCAAGTGGTGGATGATGGGAAACAGACGTGGAAAAGTTCCTGTTAACACCAAGGTCTCTATGAGGAAGTCAAACACCCTTTCTTGTGTAACGCTGTGGGCCCTGAGCAGCCGGTGTGTGTGTGTGTGTGTGTGTGTGTCTGTGTCTGTGTCTGTGATCAGGTCGCGGGTGATGAAGCACACTGAAGTCTAATGGTGTCATGACGGCTTGTGGGAATGAATGGACAGGAGACGGCTTGTTGACACAGAGAACATAAAGTCATTATTGCTTTACTGCCACAGGTATCAGGGACACCTTTGTTGACTCAGCAGTCTTCCTGAAGCTGTCTGAGATCAGTAAAGGTTTTTCCACTACAGCCAGTCAGCTGTTTAACCGTCAGTGGTTGAAAACGAGCCACTTGTCTGCAAGTTAGGTATTTCTAACGTCCCCTCAGTGCTGATGTTTTGAGCCTATTCTACTTTAATAATCATTTCAAAACTCCTGTTGCAAGGAAAAGTGTAAATCTGCCCGTTGATTGTGGCTCTAAAGGAACAACATGGCATATAGTTGCTGTTACAGTTGCATGATCTCAACCATCGAGAATGTGGCTCATTTTTGAGTGATGTGGCAGCTTTCTCCACCACAATCATCAATCAAACATCAAAAGTGTTAATATCTTCTAGAAGAACTGCTGGAAATTAATAAAAGCAGACGGAAAACTCAACAACATCCATGGAATCAGCTTAGTTTCAACCCCGAGGATCAAACGCCCTTTTCAGATGTGTTTTTTTTTTATGACCACACTCACCTTGAAAAAGAAATCCTCTCAGTCTGGCGACCATCCACGACCTGAAGTTTTAAGCTCGGTGTGATGTCTGGTCTGGTGTGGGAATTGCGACACCTTCTTTGCATTAAAGCACAGGTGGAAACTGGCAGCGACTTATATAAAAGACCCCTGCACCACACTGACCAAAGCACTGACAGCAAGGTTACCGTTTGGAACCTTGGACCGTACCAATAGACAAAGATTTAGTTTATTCTAGTGACATTTTTGCTGAAACTTTTTATTTGTTTCGACTCTGTCTTGAGAATCGTCCCTTTTTTGGTTCAAAGAATGGCTCGCCCTATCAGCTTTGTCTTTTTGGCGAGTTGGACAGCCGTAGCTTTCCCGCTGCCTCGCAATTCTTTCGACAACGTCATCAAAGGGTCAAGAGTGGAGTTGGAATCATCGGGCAGCGGACCGGATGAACCCGTCCGAGGAATAGTGAAGGTCATGCGGCTGGACCCTCGTGCCGCGGCCCAGTCAGGCTTCTTCAGAGGACTCTCCCCCAGGAGAGCGCCCTCCCACAGCTCCAGATTTTCCTTCCCCGCTTTCTTGTCTCACGGGCGTCTGGGTCCGGCCCCGGCCCCCAAGGCCCCGGTGAGCCCTCTCCACCTCCTGCACCCTAAGAGCACCGCTGAGATGGAGCTGAAGAAGAGGCAAGGCCTGCAGATGTGGCAGAGGGCCGTGGGTAAAGGAGACAAGATGAGCGTGTCCCTCCCAATAGACCTGAGGGACACCAAACAGGCGTGCACCGCCGTGCCTTTCACTCAGGTAAGAGGGTTTCATTTCCCTTCTCTGTTGAACGGATGTCTGTGCAGCTCATTGCCAACAGCATTCAAATGAGCGGCTCTTTAAAGTCAAATAGAAGGAAGCGATGCATGTTTATCCTTCAGGGGCAATAATCTGTCTGCTCACTCATAAAGCTGATTATGGCGCTGGCGGAGGATTAGCCGGCAGTGTGCTGAGTTACATAAACACACTGTGTTGATTTTTGTGGTGGAGTAAAATAATTTTAAGGTGGAGCCTTTGGAATTCCCCCCCCCCCCCCCCCCCACCTCCCACCTCCCTCAGCGCGTGACGGCGGACGGATGCGACGCAGTGACGGTGCACAACAAGCTGTGTTTCGGCCAGTGCAGCTCCATGTTCGTCCCACCCGAGGGGGAGTTAGCCAGGCCGGGTGCGGGGACGGGGGCCCTCCGTCACCGGGCCCCCTGCTCCCGCTGCGCCCCGTCAAAAGCTCAGACCATGACCGTTCCCCTGCGCTGCGGGGCCACGGTCCAGGAGAAGCGGGTGATGGTGGTGGAGGAGTGCAAGTGCGAGACGGGTCGTGAGGAAAAGAGCGCGGAGGGTCGCCTGTAGCCGTGTCAAATCTCAGACCAAGATGTGGACTTTTTCAGAGTTTACGAGATAATTACTGATTATTGTTATTTATTATATACTATAATTATGGTATTTATACCTGTATTTGTTTGAGTCTAAATCTTTTGTTCAGAGTAAAATATTGTTTGTATTCCATCGCTGACAAGATGACCTGTATTTTGGTCATGTGCTTTTCCTTACTAACCGACTAACAGCTGTCCACACTGGATCTGTGCTGCTGTTCAAATATGTGTTGAGATGGATCTAAACTGAAATATTGTGATCTGTAATGTTGTAATTAAAACGTGCTATTTATCCACACTCCCTTTGCCTCTGCATCTCCAATTAGCTTCACAACAACACTGGTCTGATTTTACAAGTGGAAGTCTGCATGCAAAACTCAAGTAAGAACATGAAGAGCGTTTGTTGTTTTTTTCCCACCCACTCTCGCATTCAAGCGCTCGAGTGTCGCCTCCTATATTTTATTAAAAAGACGCGTTCCACCGACTTTTAGCACGTAGCACTTACATCTGAAAGCATCAAACTGGAGCGCAAATGAGCTATTGAGCGCGGGTACTTAGCGGTAAGCAAACATAATTGTTTTAGCATGGACCCCTGAATTATGTATAGGAACCACCTATTCTCATGCCCAATCTCTTTTCAGCGTAGTTGTGGGAATTCAAACATCATTCACAACAGATGCACTTGAGCGAGTGGGTATGTGTGATTATGTGCGCATGTGCTTTTTTTCTCTAGTTAGGGCCCATAAAACCTATTATTCATTTATACCCTGGCACCTGGGCCTGGTAAAGTGAACTCATCCCACACGTCCCTACATACATTCCCAGAGGAGCATAAAGAAGGGGGCTCTTTACGACGTCTTGGCATGCTGTCAAATCGACTGTTTAGATGGCCATTTGCATTCACGTGGGCTTTCTGAAAAAGTGAAAGCATTCATTTCACAACGGGGGGTGCATTGAGTCCCTTGGATACCATTAGCATGTGATTAACATCTCTGGTTGATGGCTATATTTTTCAAGATTGATGGGACAAATATTTGCCCAGGTCTTAACTATGAGGAATCAGGGGCCACTTTTAATCAATCTGTTTATTTATCTAATTCAAAACGTGCAAAGGGTGGAGTAATTGGGAAGCTGTAGCTGTGTTGACGGTGCTTAAATTCTGCTCTTGCAAATTCTGCTTTTCCAACTCCCGTTGCTTGTTTGTATGATGCCAGAGTAATTTATAATCATCCATCTTTGTCGTTTTAAAGTGGTCCATTTTCTATAGTTCTGTGTGGGTGTGTTTGTGTGTGTGTGTGTGTGAGAGAGAGATGATGATGCTGCTACAGAGAGTCATGATCTCACTATCTGTTCTTTACAAACTTTGCACACTCTTCTTTCAATCTTTTGTCTTTAAAAATGTGAATAAAGGGCATACTGGTGGTAGGGGGGGTTGTTGATTGAACAAACAAGGTGCACAAACAAGAGAGCGCACCACTTAGCGAGACAGATGTCGGCCCCCTTTGCATTGTGGGATCCGGCGGAGCACTCCTGCGTCATTAAGGATGGCCTGGTTCCCATGGCGAGGGGGGAAAGGAAGGAACGAAAGAAGGAGGGCCCGGTGCCAAGTTCAGCGCCTCGGGGATCAGTTCGGCGTCACAGGGTACTAAGTGGCCTAGTTAGCGCTTTAAAACGCACAATGAGCTGCCTGCTCTTTCTCTCCGCGTGCAGGCCTTTTAACTGTCGGACATGGAAGTGGTGGGGAGGTGTGCGCGATGGAGGGGAGAGCGGGCTCGGACCGCATCAGCTCAATCAAGGTGTACCAAGGGGGGGACTGAATTATACATGGGAGCGTTGCACCTTTTCTTTTCTTTTTAGAAGTTTGAAAACCGTGTTTTTCTAGGATGGTAGATACGCGAGGTGGGGTTTTGTGCCCACTACATTACATTACACATCATTTAGCTGAAGCTTTTATCCAAAGCGACATTAAGTACATTTAAACCATAAGGATACAAACTCAAAAGAACGAGAAACAAGACTGTCTCGAACATTCCGAGGTTCATCCGTTTTGATGCTGTGCACCTCTTGCTTACTTTTGCTGCGTACACCGTACGGTGCTAATCAGTGCTGGAAAAAGCAACCAGCCACCAGATTCTGCCACCGCATCGGTGGATTGGGACTGGGTCTGAACTGTGGGAATCAGCTTCTTGGATCTGGCAAAATTGGCAGGCCAGGAGAGATGTGAGGACCTGTTAAGCCCCTATCCGGACATATCCCTGTCACCTTAGACCCTGTGCAGACGGACTCTAGTTTGTCTGAACCCGGTGAACCCCGTCTCCGGATAGCCCTATAGTGCAGACGAACGCACTGTAACCGCACACTGTATCCGCACTCCCTCGAATCGGGGGTCCAAAGTGAGTAAACTCGAAATCCGATTGCTGTTCGTCTGCACACTATCCGCATACCTAATCGGATTGCCCCACGTGATTGCATGCAATCCAACCCAGTCGTCGTCTTCTTCTTCTTCTTCTGTGGAGTTTTCGTTTGTATACGGCGCGCATGTCTTATACCGTGCTCCTGTCTTCTTCTTCAGTTGTCTGTAGCACCTTAAAGCGCCACCAACAGGCGTGGAGGATGTACTACAGCGGAGTCAATCGGATTCACTGGGTTCATGTGCACGCGATTTAAAAAGTGGGTAGCTGTTAGGGGTGTAACGATTCATTTTAACAACGATTCGATTCGAATCGCGATTCATGGTTACCGATTCGATTCATGGACGATCTGGGTTAATTTAGAACGATTCGATTCGATTTGATTCAGTGACTTGAAATCGATTTAGTAACTTTACTGGACAGTGCATGCAAAGTTTCTGAGATCCCTGTTGTTTCTTGTAAGGAAATCAGGTTTAAATTAATTATGGATATTATAAACAAGCAAACAACAATTAATGGCAAATGTATTAACCTTTTATTTGAATCAAGTGCGATTTTCAATGTAAACATTACACAATAATTACACAATGTTTGGATCAATTTACAGAACCCCGGATTTTCAACCACATTGTAGGGTCGCATGTCTTTACAGATAAACTTGGCAATTGTTACTGTGATGTTGAGTTTTGTGCTGGCGAGGCCTGAGGTGTCTGCAGAGCTGGAGTTACCTTCTGCTGCTGCTGCAGCGGTAACGCTGCTAGAGGTGCCTGACTGTCGGCGTTGTTTAATCCCACGGCGCCTTAGTAGATGGCCGGAGAGATTCGTCGTGTTTCCGTGATTTTTTATTTGTCTTCTACATATTCTACAAACAGCGACCGACTTATTTAGAATACCTCCGTGTTTGCAAAAGCCAAAATGTTTCCACACGCTGGACCAATAAGTTGGTTTGTAAATGTCTCTCTCGCAGTCGTCTCCTCCATGCTGTTTTTTGTTGTTCCGAGTTTCGCGCGGCTGCCGCTGCGTATTGATGACATCACAGACAGGCAGACTGAATCGAGTAACGTTTAACGTCTAAAGTGCTATAAAACAAACAAACAAACACACATCTATACCGTTTTTGTACTTAAATCCAATGTGCAGTTTCCAAGTATCGATACAATCGATATGTACCATTTCAATCGATTTGTAATCGATATATGTCGTCCGGAATGCCGATTTGCGGAGCACAGATCGATTCAGTTGGATCGCAGGAATATAAATCGATTAATCGATTCAGTGAATGAATCGTTACACCCCTAGTAGGTGTGAAAAATGAACCCGGGTTCAGGCAAACTAGAGTCCGTCTGCACGGGGTCTAAATCCCAGCGGCGCGGGTTTTAGTGCTGCAGGTGTTGGGCCTGAGGTGTGAGGGCGTCCACCTCCCCGCCCACGCGCCGGTACGCGCTCGCTTTGTGGTGTCAGTGTGGACCAGCTGGTCAGAGTTGGCGCCGCAGGAGGCGGTGGCCCCGGGCTAAGCCTGCCAGCCTATATTGCCCTTCTGCCTTGGCCGGTGGCCCGCCTGCTAGGCCGTCTGCAGGGGGCAGGGGAGGACGGGGAAAGGTGTGGCCTGCCCTGAGTTTGTCATTGGATGAAATCCAGAATTGGTTTCAGTGTCTGCTGTCGGAAGTCAGGTCCATGTGCAATGACCGAGGAACACCTCGCTCAATGTGATCCGAAATCCACAGTCCTCTTTTGGTGCAAATAGAGGCTTCAGCTCAGTCTGTCAGACAAAGCTCGGCTCTTTTTCTTGTCTGAAAACTTGGACGAAGGATAATCCCGTCTGTAGTCTTTTAGAGATTCTTGTGTTGGCAAACTGTTAAAGGTGTTCCCCAGTGTGAATCTGGCTTTCTTCTTCAGTTGATTGGTCATTGTAAATTTTCTGGGGGGACATTTGAGTGTTATAATTAGAGATTTTCCCAAAGATAAAGGTTGAGAAACCGCTGATCATTTTACATTACATGTCGTTTAGCTGACGTTTTCATACATTGCATTTTCAACCCACACTGTGGGAGTAGTGCGCAGCCATAAGGGCACCCAGGGGTTGGGTGTCTTGCTCAGGGACACTTTGACATGGGACACTGAGCAACCATGGTTCCGAACTGCCAACCTCGGGGTTCTCAGCGCACCCTCTCTACTCCACGCGCCACCATCGCCCCAACCTGGTAATTGGGAAAACACTTGTGGCCTCCGATTACAAAGTAACGATGAAAATGAACATTTAGCTTCATCTGGTACAATATACAGTTACATTTTTCATTTGGCTAACGCTTTTATCCAAAGTAAGTGCATTTAATCAAGAGGAGACCCAGAACCAGGTATAGTCGGACTGCGTTTTCCTTGGTGTGGCAGTGGCGACCGTCGAGCTGTCCATCAGCGCTCTGCTGGAGTGCGTTGATGGTGGCGGCGTGGCAGGTGCGGCCCTGCGTGCCGTGCAGGTGATGTCTCTCATGCTCACTTAGCTAATGAATCCAATTAAAGTAATTAAGAGCTGGCATGGTGAAATCTGCTCACCCACCCGCTGCCAACCCCATCCATTTCCCTCCACCAGCAGCGCCCGCCCGTCTCGTACTGCTACATGCCGCTGTCTTTAAACCCCCCCCCCTTGCCTTCCCCCACCCCCCGCCTCCCCTTAACGTTGCTCTCCTGGCCACCCTCTCATTCCTGCTGTCTTGCACACCTCTGCTCCCGCCGAGGCCTTCTAAAAGAAACATGAAGCCTAAAATCGGCTAAGCGCTCCACTCCACAAGCACTTAAGAGACCCTCAACTCAACTTATTGTCGCAGGGACGGCTACAGAAGGGAGAGAACGGAGGCGGGGGGGGGGGCTTCGAGAGGACGAGGGGATGCGAGCCA